AATCTAGTATATTAAACTGATCTCGGTTATATCCATCAAACATTTAGAGTACAATTTCTGGTTACTGTGTCTTTAGCGATATATTTACTGGAAATATTTCATTGTTCAATTTGTCATAATTAAGGATAATTGTATCTCAAATTGATACATTTGCATTATCTTCGTAGACGTCCGGGTTCCTTATGGACCAATCAAAATTCGGCATTTTTGATCCGCTTCGAATGTATAAAATCGCTGAGCGAAGCATGTTTGGCCTTTTTAAAAGTTTATTATGTTGGCAACAGTTGGCCGGTGGTAACAAGAGACTTGCACCCCCTAACCCTAACATTTCCACCACGAAACTCATTCACCCAACCCGAAAACCTTAATTCCCTTCCTGGTTTTGCTTTCGCACTTTCCTTTCCAATCAAAAAAAGAAAGTGCCCTTGTTAGCCGGCCAACCACACGTGTGATTACCCCGAGTCTCAAGCCTTGTGAAGCCCCCGACATTTATGTTGAGGTGAGTACTTCGTGTGCGAACTTTGCTTGGCTTATAGTACCGCTCGTGTGTTTGTTGACAACTAAATTAAAAGGTTAGCTCGTCTCGTGCCGGGCCTTTACCTCTTTGTGGAAATGGCCCTTGACGAGTTTTCCGACATCATTTTGTTTAACTATGGCCGCCGAGATGGCTGCAAACAACATGTAGTGATGTAGAGCAAGAACATCGCATACATTTATACTTCCAGAGTGTTTGTTTTACCCCCGTTTATTCATAAACGTAATTCCCGTTTATCCAGATTCAGAATTTCAAGGTTTTCGTTGCAAAACGCTAAAAATATTTATTCGTTTAAAAATATTGATGAGCTAGGCGCTATTTCATGATGGCCGCAAGCGTTTGATGAAATGCCTTCGGGCACTTTCATTGCTCGATTTAGTTTAAAGAGTCTTTGCCTCATAAATACTACCATTTGCGTTCAAGCTTGCGGCGTGCGATTTTAAAACGTACGTTTCACGTTTCAAAACGTACGTTTACCGTTTCAAAACGTACGTTTGCCATTTCAAAACGTACGTTTTGTTACGCCCCCTGTCATGTTTAGACAATGAAATTGACATGTTTTTGAAGTTCAAACGAATTTAGCTAATATCCAAAAATAGGTTTATTACATTTGTAACGTTTGCGGAGGTGTTTTATAAGAATTACAAATGGAACCTTACTCTGTGAGAAAAAGTAAACTTATATAGGTGCAATTTTCTTTTTTCAAATAGCTGCATTCAATATTTTAAAACCGTATTTACAAATAACCGAAACATGAAAGGGGGCGTGACAAAACGTACGTTTTGAAACGGCAAACGTACGTTTTGAAACGTGAAACGTACGTTTTAAAATCGCACGCCGCAAGCTTGAACGCAAATGGTAGTAATGGTAATTCACCTCGGTTGAAGTAGAGGGTTAAAATAATCTTTGAGATGCTGCCAAAATTTTATTAAGAAAGTCTATTTATAATGAAAATTTTTAAAAAGATTTTGAGTCAAACAAAACAAATGCATTTGTGATATGATATAATATCCGATAAAATTATGCCACATTTGCATGATAATAATGAAAGATTTATGCATATCCCCTTATTTCTTGTAAATGAAAGGAGCCTTGCTCTATTTCATATCTCCTTATTATGTGATTTTATATAACCCAAAAGAAATGCTTCATGTAAAAATCTAAACTTTATCTGCCCAAAATATCTACATTCAGTGTTGAGTCGCTTAAATAATTGTGAGTATGCTTTTTATGTGTTCACATGGCTTATTTGTGGTCTCAAGATCTTGTTCCTAATTGATGAATTGTTTTATTGAATGAGTTTTTTAGGTTTGTGTGTAGAGAATGTAGAGATTTTCCATAGAAATCAATGTACACGTTCAATGAAATGTATGAGATTTGACTTAATAAAAGTTTAAAACTGGCGTTTATGTATGTTAGTTTCAATTTCATATATTACTCATGAAGATATATATCACAATCCTGTGTTGAGGTATTTTACCTGATTCTTCAGCAAGATCCTGGGCAATATCCTTTCCTCTTCGAAAAGCCATGGTTGCTCTTAGAGTTACTTTTTCCCTCAATGATCTACAAAATCATAATGTGCAGCATTAGTGTTCATGACAACCCCTGATTATTGGAAATATGGCAAATTATAGAAAATGTTTGAATTTTTCCAAATATTTTGAAATTAATAAGGTTCATATTGAATGACTTCACTGCATTTTTCCATATATCCCAATACTGGAATTATTCCATGGCTATGAAGCACAAGTAACTTTGGTAATTAGAAACATGTACATACATGCAGGGACATTAGCCAGTTCAAAATCAGGTCAAAGGTGCAATTTCATTATGCAGATTAGAAATTTTAAGAGAGAGAAGTATCGGTTTGATTAATTAAAATAACTTTTTCATGGGAAAGTTTTCTCAAGTGTTTTCCTTACCTCATGTTTTTTCTGAACAATCATTTTGTGAGTACTTTTTTAGACTACAAGATTTTATTAACTTTAAGTAATTTAGCTTGTAGGTACACCACGTAAGTATTTATATGAAAAGCTTTGGTCCATTAAGGTTTGCAGTCTTATATAAATACTTACATGGTGTACCTACAAGCTAAATTACTTATCGACTGTCACCATGCAAACATACAAGAATATTATTACAAGATTTTAACCAATATACACTTAATGTATGCCCCAGAGGGAAATAGTGAATTTTGTTTTCCCTTGAGTCTCAATGTTTCCCTTGACTGTACATTATTAAGTGCTTTGTTATATTGGAACAAAAACATACATGTTACACAACAATTTCATTAAAAAAAATTTTAACCTGCTTCCCTGGTGGGGAACATTGCATTTATTTAAAGAGTCACATGACTCCGAATGAACTGATCACATTTAAAAATACACAGCACCTATATAACAAGGTAACATCATGACTGACAATGGCACAAATGTTGCCATAAGTATATCAATATGCCAGTTTTGAGAGATATTAAATGGCAATGATTGTGCTTACTAGTATTAACATTTGATGGATAATGTTGCAATAATTATTTCCTGTTTACCGTCAACACTGCTCACCTATTCAACAATGCTAACTTTTGATCAAGAATTTTTTCCAATTTGTGGGCAAGTTTCGATATCCAATGTGTGGATCCATTGTAACGATAACAATTCTCCAAGATTAACCGCATGTCTGATATAACTGCTGTGATGCTCTGGTAGTCATAACTCTTGAACTTGCCTTCAACTAAAAATGAATAGTTGTAGACATTAATTAAATTGCTCAACCCAAATGTTTTCTGTCCTATCTGTCCAACACTGTTGCAATTTTAATCCACAAATTCCTCTGAACAATTTGCAATGAAAGTGAACATATTACAAATTGCATCTCACAGCTAAATTTTTGAGCAAGCCAATGTGATGATTGAGATTTCATTACCAGTGTAATTTTCTTGTATTTGAATTGTCAAATTGTTTATGGAAATTAAATCAAATGGCCATCACACAATGACTGGTTGTACATTTTATAAATAGGATACTCCAAGATCAGGTAATTGGTCCTTAACATTATTCTTCCAAGAAAATTCAACTATTATTTACTGTAACCCAATATGCTATTATTCATATTGGCATGTAATTTGTTACACTTGTTTTTAAATTATAAATAAAACTTAATAAATAAAGTGCCAGACATGATCAAACTAGTGAAATACTCTTGGCATAAGAGCTATACAAATGCTCCTCCCTAAATAGCCTAGGGAATTGTTTATTGGGAATAAAGCTGTTCTTCTGGTTTGTGGCAATGACCAGGTTAAAGCAGTTTTTAGAAGGAAGTGGTAGAAAGGGAAGTTTTAAATGAAATAAAAAAAGAAATGAATGAATGAATGGGTTTTTTGAAAAAAAATACAAACCCACACAGGGGGCACAATTTGCATGCCTTTACCATCCAAGATGCTATTTGTACAAAGAGAACAAGATCTGGAACAAATATTGTACGAATGAAAGAAAGAACAATACATGTTTCACTTACTTTGAGTGAAACTCATTGGTGTTTCAATTCTCGCATGGTAGTCCCACAGATTCAAGCCTTCTACATCGACAGGCCGAACAAACGGATATGTTATAGATTTATACTGGTCTGACTTTAGTTCGTGGAATATTCTATACCCTTGTTGAACTTCGTAGCTAAACAAAGTCAAGTCGGGAACAAGTGGCTCGGGCACAGCAACAAACGGCTGGCTTGCTTCGACGTTCAAAACATCTATTTCTGATGAGTTTTCAATGAATTTTCCTGCGCTATTTTCTTCGCTATTGGTTCTTTCAACGGGAGGGTCGCATTTCCTGCCATCTTCCTGCTTTATATCTAAAGTTTCTGGCTCCATTTCGAGCTAGCGATTGCTTAAAAATTTCTCTCAGACAAAGCAATTTTTTCCCTCATAAAATTTCAACCGGTGTTTTCAATATTTTTGACTTTTGTCACAACACGCGCCACGCGTGACCTTGGCGTGGGAGTTCCCGCGGGTTCAAAACCCCGTCGGAGAAAAAGACTGTAGTGAAATATAGTAATTCCGTACTTATAGAAAATAAAAAGAAATAAAAGGACAGTTTTTGTGGACGCTGTGAACAATTTTTTATAAACCTAAGTCTTTCCTATGGATAAAAAGTAGTTCATATCTTTAATAATGCTTCTAATTGTTAAAAGGTTGCTACCGGGTACATAAACCGTATCGAAAACCATGATGCTTTGCGTGCGTAAGCAATCCTAAAAATGCTCTTAAAAAGACGAAAAAAGCCAGTATGTTGAAATTAGTTGAAGAAATTATTATTTCAAAATATGTTTAACTTTGTGCGGTCTTAATATTTACGATAGTGCAGAAATTTATAGCAATTGGCGATTTTAAACGGGGGGAAATATCTCGTAGTGGTCCGTCGTGCATTGCGGGAATTGTTGCGGGTAGATTGCTTCTTGCTGGCTGAGGAAGAAAAAGTAAAGGCATTATTTTGAATTCGGGCAGAATTTCGCATTCAGGAAGCAACCTTTTCTCAACCTGACGGGCAAAATTCCTGCATTCTATCTCCCAGAAAAGAGGTAGGTTAAAATACGAGGAACAGAAACGCGAACAAAACCAATAACGGGTGAAAAATTTGCGATGCATTTTTTATACGAAGCGTATTTTATCGACGACACGTGTAAATATATTGAGTTTTAGTATTTATCGAATTCAAGAGGTTATATTTTAGATTTACATTTCCGCAATCGTTTTAATATCTGTTCGACAAAGTTCCTACGATATGGTTTACGTACTGACGTGGTCACGTTTTGGTCCATTGTGTTGAGAAAAGATTTTGAAGATATTTTTAAAATTTGTGTGTTTGTCTATGTTTACAGATGGACTTACATATGTTATTTTGTTGTCTGACGGCTTCAAAAACGTGATTTTTCCTCCCAAACTGCAGCTGTTAACCCATGAGGCTAAAACTAGAGGAGGTTGAAATTTCCTGAAATTAGAACATTTGAGGAAATTCCCTGCATATCAGAATAAACATGGCCAAATAATTGGCTGTTTTTGCCCAGTAGATCTTATCATACCGCCCAAATTATACATAGACTGAATCATGAATCATCTATTCAACAGAGACTGCCTGTGAATTGACTGACTTGTTTGTCTATTGTCTGTCATTATTAAGGCCCATGCTCTTTTTTCATGAAACAGTTTATTTAATTTTAGGTTGTAAGCATAACTACTTATTATTCAGTCTTATTATTCTCGCAGAACAGATACTTAAAAATGACAGTTTTTGGATGACTGAATGTTAGCTTTAAGTCCAATCCTTTGAGTTTATTGAGAATGGCTTGTAAAGTAGCTTCATGTCAATTAAATCTCATTCGAAGTTAATAGATCTTGAAAATGACATGCACAGATATTTTTCTTAATGAACCATGAACTATCAATTACCGTTTTCTGACATACGAAATCCTTTGAGGTCAAAAGTGGCATGACCAGAGTCGTGATTTTTTTAGGGTGGGGGGGGGGTTTGGGATGAAGCACTTGTTGGAAAGATTTTGATAGCACACAATCCTAAAACCTGTACTTTGTAGATGTTTCTCAAGAGTGGTCAAAAGAGGTAGAATGCCAACCTCTTGTAGCATTAGGTATGCCACTATTTCAACAAAGTAAAATAATAATGAATGCAGATTTTCCCACTTGGAGTCCAATCTGTTTTTTGTGTATGTGGATCAAGCTTTATATTTGACATGCATTTAAAAAATTCAAAATATCCATGTATTTATGGAAAGATAAGAGACTCATTGCATTATAAGGACAAAACTATACCAAAAATAAGAAAAAACTTGAACAAGTGTTTAAAACTAACCAGGAGCATTTGCACAAAAACTGCAACTTTCTCATGAGTCTTTCTCTTAACGCAAGCTTGACCCAACTACAGTAGAGCCTACTCAGTCTAACAATTACACTCTCGAGTGGGTCTTTTTCACTGAATGATAAATATTTTACCTTTTTTCAACAAGTGCAGATCAAGCCAACACATATAAATCACAGTTTAGGAAATAAACAGTAGGTCCACTTAAGTAAGAATTTTTGTGTGACACATATCTTAATGATGCATTATGCGCAGGTTGTATAAAACTCTATAACTACATTTTGCATAGTTAAATCCTAGTCAAATCAGGAATACACAATAGTTACAAGCTTTTTATACAACTGGGCCAAGAACTTCAAGTGCCTGTGTAGCCAGCAGCTGATTAAATACACTAGGTTGCAACAATGAAATAACATTTGTGTTCAGTCCCCCTATACTATATTAGCAACCAACTCTCACTTAATCTCATTAATGACATCACAACTCACAAGCACCGTGTCCAATCTCTTCCTTGTAAAAGATCATTACTTTGTCACATGTTATTAATGATGTGGTTTGTGACTTTGTCTATGTGCATGTTGGTTTTACAATTCCATCAAATTGTAATCCTTCAAGCTTCCATTTATTTAAACCATCTTTTTCTTGTGCATGTGGGTACATTTCAACAGTAACGGCGCATGCTCAATGTATGTGAGCGCGACATTTCTCTCCTGCATTGAGGTTTTCAAATTTATGTAAATTTCTCGTTTTACCGCATTTTAAATCCCAATTAAACCGCGAAACCAATAAATTTTGGTTTGAAATGTCGGCAGTGTGGGAATTAACGGAGTGGAGAATAAGGATTTGAAACAACTCACTAAAAGTCAACAACGCTGGCTAATGCATGATCAAAACAGGTTTATATCGTTATTTAACAACGAGACATACAGCACAAAGAACACTTATCTACAATGATATGTTGCAGACTGAATAATTAAACCTGTCCGGTGAATTGCACATCTATGTTTCTTATTATTTAGTTCGCCACAAAACCACTGAATCTTAAGAAGAAACTTCCAAAATGATACCAAAAATCCACCAACATTTATATAAGGCATTTTTACAGTTAGTGTCTCATAATAGTGAAATCTTGTAAAACTGTCCATTTTTAAGGCGACGCAAAAATTTGAAATTTTCGAGTTTTCCGAGTTTTTTCCTTCGGCCATAAACATTCGTCAGCATTTGTCACAAAAAGTTTCAAAAGAATGGGGGCGGAGGAGGGGCGATGTGGTTTTTCGATTTTTCCAGAAGGATAACTTCGACTCGACCTCGATTTCCGAGAAGAACCGTGGCGTTTTCAGTTTTTTTCCCAGCATATCTTTAAGAAGTAGAATTTTCATTTTAAAAACTCGCCTTGCTATGTGTGTTCATTGGTTTTATTAGACACGAGACCATAAATAAACGAGATTTGTGAAAGAAACTACTGCTTACCAGGCTTTGAATGCGTGGTTTACAGTTTTGTTTGTAATCATTTTGTTCAGGTGAAAAACGGTATGGATGAAAAAACAGAACAAGAGATGACTGATACAAACGTCGCTGAGACAACAGAAGAATGTCTCGAGAATGGAAGTGGTGGTGAAAAATCACAAGACGATACACTTGGAGAAGTAGTTAGCATAAGTACCACCTTGGCGCAGAACACTGTCCCGAACGTGGTTTTCAGTGAAGGTAACAAAACAGAGGGAGAAGATATGGTGTTCACTGTTGTAGCCGTGGACAGTAACATTGATGAGTACGTGGAAATGAATTCTGAAACCCTCCCCCAGGAAGTTCAACTCAGCTTAGTCCAACCACCGGCGGAGTCAGATACTGGTGGTAACAATTCCGACAGGTTATCGGATATAAACCAACTCGCCTTGATTGCAGCCAGCATCGAAGAAACCCCAAAGCACGCCAACGTAACCAGCCCCGAGGATGCGCAGGAAAAAAGCTCTGAAATACCAATGGTCGAATTGGAGAACTCGAATACCCCTCGGCAAGCCAAACCGAAAAACTACCAAGATTCGGCAGGGGCTCAAAAAAATGTAAAAGGCAGAGTGGTCTGTACCATATGTGATCAAAATTTCTCAGATCTTCCATCAATGAGGCGCCATCGCTTGATCCACTCCGAGGAGAAGCCCTACCAGTGTGATTTTTGCGACAAGGCCTTCCGGCGTAAGGATAACCTACGAGAGCATCGGAACATTCACACCCAAGAACACGTGTATAAATGTGACCGTTGCGGCAAGACCTTCCCACGAAAGTACACTCACAAGGTGCACATGTCGAGGTTCTGTATGAAACCAGGAGAGGTATCGGGGATTGGCGACGAAACTTGGACGACCACTTCCGAAAAAGCAGCTCACGTGAAAACGAACATGGTCGCGACTAAGACTTCAGAACCGTGCCATATTTGTTTCAAAACCTTTCGAGATGCATCGACCCTGAAGCGCCATTTGCTAACCCACTCCGACGAGCGTCCGTATAAATGCACGGAATGCGACAAGGCATTTCGTAGAAAGGACCACCTTCAGGAACACGTGATAGTACACAAGTTAATCCGTCCCTTCAGTTGCCAAACTTGCGGGAAGTCGTTTTCAAGAAAGAACGGACTCAAGACGCATATGATACGAACAACCCATCTGCTTGGATTCGATGACATCGTTATACCTGAGCAGCCGAAGGATTCTGAGGGAGTAGCTGTGGACGTTGTTGAGCAAGTGCTTGCAGCTGATCAGTTAGTGGCTACTACAAGCGAAGTATTTCCCGAAACCTCCCAAGGAGAAAATGTCACCAGCAACAATGAGCAGTCTACGTCAGCTGACATTTCATCGTCTGGACAGTCAAAAAGTTCAGATAATGTCGCAGTGCATGTGGTCGAACACGTGCTTGAGGCTGACCAGTTAGTATCCGCCACAAGTGAGGTGTTTCCTGGAAACTCCCAAAGCGACAAGCCAACTGGAAATACCGATCAATCCGCATTGAGTAAAGGTACAAATGGAAGCAACTTCCAGCCTGAAGGCAATGATCGAGCGCGAAGTACAACTGTGACTTTGGAATTCTCCAAAGTGCCAGCAAATTCCGAGAATCCGACAGAATCTGAGACCACTGTAGTAATTTCAGAGAAAGGTACTGAGCCAAACGAATTAGACAACCTCGAAAACGTTGAACCGATGGACGATTCAAGCGCACAAGACGTAGAATCCGTTGTGATCAAGTCGATTTTCTGTCCTAGCTGTAACGGGACGTTCCCAGGTAAAGTTGAACTCTGGGAGCATTTCCAACAACACATTGACGAGGGAATGTTCGCTTGTGAGCTTTGCTTTGAAATCTTTGTTAGCACGGAGCTGTTGCAAGAACACCAAAAGAATTGCGACCCTTCCACAGTAGGGGGTAGTGATGAAGGTGACGATGAAAACACCGTAAGTAACGAAACTGTCGGTACCCCGGAGAAAGACCCTTCCACGCCAAACTCGAGGAAAAGAAAAAGGACAAACACTGCCGAAAGAACTGATCAAACGTGCACTGTTTGTAATAAAGTGTTTCGGGATACCACCGCTTTGAAACGACATGCTTTGGTTCATAGTGGAGAACGTCCACACGCATGCGGTGAATGTGAAAAACGTTTTCGACGTCGCGATCATCTGAAGGCGCACGAAATTGCCTACCATAGCGGCATAACATCGCACGAGTGCAAGACGTGTGATGCAGCGTTCAATACAAGGTACGCACTAACAGTTCATGCAAAAACCTGCAAGAACCGACCGTCGTCGCCAAAGGAACCCGTCTCCCAAGAGGTCAAGCTTATTGGCAGCCCCGAATCAAAGCAATGTCCCATTTGTCACAAGATATTCAAAGATCCGTCAACCCAACGACGCCATTTCCGAATCCACTCCGACGAACGCCCTTTCCATTGTGATATCTGCTCCAAGTCGTTCCGACGAAAAGATAACTTGAAAGAGCATTTGCTTTGCCACTCGGAAGAGAAGCCGTTCTCTTGCGACCACTGCGGGAAATCCCTGTCCAGACGTAGTAGTCTCACCAATCACATGAACGTTTGTCCCGCGAAAAAGCTAGGAATCGGCGCAACTATGGCAAACTCCGAGAACCCCATCATACCGGAAATGCAATTCACCCAGTCCGCCGTGCAAGAAATGTGTGTCAGCGGTAATCCACAAGAAATTTCCGCCGCCCATCTCCTAGCAACGGGTCTGGCGACCTCTGTGACGTCATTAGATGTGACGACATCTGGAGTGACGTCATCTGAAGTTGCTTCTTTGGATGACGACATAGAACACGGGCTGCCGGATGAGGATGACGGAAGTGGAAACACTTTCCCGTGCGAGGAATGTGGCAAAGTTTTTCGCGCCAAATGGACCCTGAAGTTCCACCAACGTATTCACAGCGGGGAAAAGCCGTACACGTGCACAACATGTGATCGACAATTCCGTCAGTCAAGCCACCTTAAGATCCACGAGCGCACCCATTCCGGAGAACGACCGTATCAATGCCAGGTGTGTGGTCGCGCATTTATCGATTCTTCGACCATGAGACGACACGAGCGCCATCACAAGGAAGCCGCTGACCCGAATGCAGTCATTAATGACCAACATGACGTCATTACTACTGAAGACGAAATTATTCACTCCCAAGGTGACGTCATTAATGCCCAAGATGATGTAATCAACGCCCAGAGTAACGTCAACGATCAAGATTACGTCATCAGTAACCAAGTCATCGAAGATTCACACCAGATCATAGATAACATAAACGAGAGCGAGGCTAACGTAGTCCAGCAAGCGGTTGAGGTCAGTCTCGAAGAAGGCGCGATTCAACTGCTCGTGACAACAGCCAATGAACTCGCGAACTCTAGCCAACCAATCAGCACTAATGTTGTTCCAGGCATGAACCAATCAGACGACGGGACGAGACTGGATGAAAGTAACCTCAGGCAAATCTTGAGAGAGTGCATAAGGAACCAGACGATTTCTGCGGAAAAAATTGAAACATTGGAAGGTATAAACTGGCAGCAAAATCCGACGAACGAAGGCGTTGAACAATTGATATACATTCAAACTGAAGAGAGCACTCAGACCGAGTAGAAAGAGGTCCAAAAATGAACTAGCTTCTAGATAAATAAAGAACACAAGCTTAAGAAGACTTCATGAAGAAGCTACCTTTTAAAAACACAAATGCGACTTTAAGACTTTGGAGTGGAATATGATTATATCGAAAATGATTTGATTATAGCCCAATTGCAAATTAAACTGAAAATTTTAAAAAAGGAACTTTAACTTGCATGCTTGCTTAGCATTGCCTAAAAGAGTTAACGTCGAATACTTATAGTAAACTCGCAAAGGTCGGTAGCGAAAAACTATTTACAGACGTGTGAAATTTCGTCCAAATGCATTGGGTCGCTATTTCCAAAATGGGACGAAGGCATTTCTACCGAATTTGACTTTGTAAAACACCAGCATCTGACTTGAACGAAGCTTTTTTAGTTTTCTTGTGAAAGTGTTAACAAGTATCTTATAAATGTAAACGCCTGTATTTGTATGTACTTTTGAGTGATTTTGCTAAAGTGATCGGCGATTTGTGACATAACTTTCAATGTGAGTTCATCTCTCGCTTTGTAATATCGAATTACACTTGCGATCAGTAAATTCAATCTCTAGCCAGGTAAGGACAGAAGAATCCTTATCGTTGAATTTCGAAACATATTGATATAATACATGGTTGATTAAGTAACATAACAGACTTGACGTTTTCCACTCGTTCGGTTTTATTCACCTGCGACTTAACTCAACCGTCGAGATACACCAAGAATGTCTCTTGAATCGCAGCTAGGCTGTGGAGCTCCTTAAAAAGGGCACCCAGCACCCTATGATTGCGTACTGAGATTGGTAGTATTTTAGTTCCTTTTAGTTTTCTTGCGAACTTAAGTTGGTTTTGTTTGATTTGTATGTCTACGACGAAAATGTTCGTTTTTTGTGCAAGAAATAATAATTACAAGGCGTAACCTATTAGGAAATGAAACGAGATAAAAACGAATTGTTACTTTTATTCCGAAATAAAACGAGATAAAAACGGAAGCTTCCAGCCTTCCGAAGTGCGTAAATCCTGGATACATCCGGCCTTCTGTAAAGAAGTTTGTTCTGGATCATTTCACTCGCTGATTATTAATGTTTTAAAATAGTAAAGCTGCATGGGTTCAGTCAACGTCCGACAATTTTAAATCTATCATTTCTAGACCATCAGTTCACAGCTGCATAAAGTTCATCAGTTCATAAGTGAAGACTGGACTTTACGATGATAAAAACGTGTTTATGCGTCTACGTATAACTAACTACATGTGCTTCATGCACGTCAAATGTTCTTCGGTATATTTTAGGCTGTTTCATGCGAGAACAAATATCGAAATCTATATCATTATATTTCATACGTTCTTTCGATTTAAATACAGATGGAAAATTAAAATGTTTTAAAAACTTGTTTGAAGAAGTTGTAATCCTGCTCCTTGGTTACCTTTGAGTTCTGTGTATACAAAATTGTAAACAGCTGCTGTGCTGATTGCTGTGCAATACTGAACTTTGTTCAAGGAATGAAATGGATGCTTCTCCGCCTTATCACAGCAATAGGACCTTTTGGAGATGATCTGATTTGCGGATAATAATATGGGATCGATTCTTCTTTGTCTAACTTAAACAAGAACAATTTTCTTTCCAGTTCGCCTGTTTCGGAAAACCAGAGAAGGTAACAGCAACCTTCTTTCTTGACTAAGGTCAAAACGACGATTTTACAAATGGCAGAGTGAAATGCAGCCCCAAAGACCTTGTGACTTTTTTGTACTTGTATTGTGGACTTCAGATTCCCTTCTTCTGTGTACATACGTATATGATTATTGTGATCGGATACTATAATTTCGTTCTGCTCAGAAATACTCAAGTTGGATGGCGGGGATGTGAATGTTTCAAACTTTTGCTTCAACTGTCCAGTGTTGTCATAGATATACAGATGAGGTTGATCATCTACCATTATAATGATGTCATTATTGCTGTTTACAGCTAAATGAATGAAAAAATTATCGTCTTTGAGAAATTCGATCGTGGAGTCGTATTTGATATTGTAATTATTATTAATATCCATCATATACAACACGTTACTTCTAACTTCGCCTTTCTCCTCCGTTATTGTTCTAGGATATGCGTGAACGTAAATATTGTCGTTCTTATCAACAGCGATTCCTCGAATATATTGCTTGACAACTTCTCTGGGTTTGGGTAATTTAACCAGTTTGCTCTCACCTTTCCTACAAAAAAACTTAAGGTTGTCTCCATCACGAAGAACAACATCTCCATGACTGTTAACAGCAGATATCCTGGGACATGTATCTTCGCAAAGAAACAACGCGTTAGGATTTTCAGGCAATTCTCCACCCATTGACTTCCGACTAGCGACCTCTTGCCATTGTAACATCGGATTAAACCTGCGATCAGCAAGTTCAATTTCTGGCCAGGTAAGAACAGAAGAATCCTTAGTGCTGAATTTCAAAACATATTGATACAATACATAGTTGATTAGCATAATAGACTTGACGTTTTCCACTCGTTCGGTTTTATTTACCAGCGACTTGATTCCACCGTTTAGATACACCAAGAAAGTCTCTTGAATGGCAGGTAGGCTGTGGAGCTCCTTCAAAAACGACAGGCATCCTATGATTGCGGTTTCAGAACGTTCCAGACCTTCCAGTAATTCTGAAATAACTCGAAGTTTGGCTGCAAATATTTTATCGCCGATGCTGAGTGACTCAATACAAAAAGCATCGGTTGCTCTTTTGCGGGAATCTTTAAATCGTTCGTTAGCGGCCTCAAACTCTTTATTTGATTCGATCTTTAACTCTTCTATAGCAAGGGAAAGCTTTGAAACGTCGTTCAAGATCAGAGACTCAACACCGCTTGGCAATGCTCCTGATGCTTCCCCAAGGTCGTCCCGAGTTCCGTACTTTACAACAGCTTTTTGCTCAGGCTTTGATTCACCAAAAGAAACATTGAGTAAATCGACTCCTTCCTGTAGGAAACGATAACTGCTGAGAAGATCTTTGCGCGAAAGTCCATCAAGTTTTGTCTTCACGTCGTTCATATCTCTTACGATAAGCTCGCGAACTCTCGCGTCTGTAACATCGCCGTCCTTTAATTTCGCTGCCATCGAGTCTCGAGCCTTGTTTACCAACAAACCCACAGTTAAACTTAAAATGCTTGTCACGATAGACGACATACTGAATAGTAAAGGTTCAAAAATAATTAGTCTAGCGAAATACTAGATACCTTTTAGCTTCTTCATATATATGTTATATATATGTTATGTTCCGCATTCCTGGCATCAAGCAGATGGCGTGATTTTAAGGATCAATTACATCAATCTCTCGCAGCCTCTGAATACGATGATTGAAACTGCATACCAGGACTGTTATCTGATGGATATCCATACATAGAATTGTGTGAATCGGATAGGTTTGTTTTATATTGATTTCATTTAGCGAACGCTGTGCACAGTTAAGGCATCATCGTTCAGACCAATTGCAATAACCTTATTTGTCACCTGAACCCGATGGTGGGAAAGCCACGCATGCATTGTGTAATGCGTATCAGATAAATCATACTTACAGTGTAAGAGAAAGGTATTGACACTGTAAATATACTTCAGAATTTACATATACAATTTCTATAAATTATATACCATGAGAATGTCACCGGAGTACAAGTAAAACTAACTGTGATTTTTCAGACTCCGAAACAACGCCAAGGCGATTGACGGCAAAATTATCTTTGTCGTCTGAAGACTCCCTGCCGGGCGCATTAATTTTACTGTTTGCTGCGTACCGTAATTACTCGAATAAACGCCTCCCTCGAATAAACGCCGCCCTCGAATTAACGCCGCAGGGAATAGCAAAAATATCATTAAACGCCGCCCTCAAATAAACGCCGCAACCTTTTCGTCATTGCGGCGTTTATTCGAAGCATTTCTTTATAACGACTGTAAGAAATTCAAGTATCTATCTTTACAAAAAAAGACAACATTGAATCTAAACCAGTCGTGGAAATTTATTTTTCTCAATTTGAATGTTATTCAGTTCAAAGTGGCTATACTTCATAGCTTTGCTGCTTAGCTCTCTCTCTCCAAAACTTCTACGATGCGTAATTCCGTGGTAACAGCCGAGAATCTTGCCGATACCACTAGATTGTATTGGTTAAATCACAGTTAGTTAAATTGGCGTTTAAATTACACAATAAATTCAGAGTTGTTTGCAATAAACGCCTCCCTTGAATAAACGCCGCCCTCGAAACTAAATTTGCTAAAAATTTACACCGCGGCGTTTATTCGAGTAATTACGGTATTTAGCGCTTACCAAAGGAAATTCCTAAGGTAATTGCCATAAGTAAAAGATTGCTAACAACTCATTACTCTGACGTCAGCGACGGAATTGAAAATTCGCCTCGCCGGTTTTGTTTCTGTTTTTTTTTATTATTTCTTTTTTATTATTATTTTTCGTCGTCGCACGTGTGTAATGGCTCGAAATATACAAGTATATACTTGTATATACTTTGATTAAGTTTAGATTGAATTGGGGTAAGAATATATTTAATACATCTAGATTCGCTGTTTAACAAGGCCGTGTATAGGCGTGTGGCCGTGTATAGGCGCGTTGACACGTCGCAGTTTGCACAGGATTGCAAATTTAATATAACTATATAAGCACGAATTCCAAAGGCAAAGTGTAAGACAAAGTGAATGTATCAGTTTATTTACATTTTTGAACGATTGAACTTCTATACTTTTTAAAGTACGATGTGCTTCTGAATTTCGCGATCGAACAACATTTAGGTTCGCAAGCCAATGTTAAAAATAGGTACATAACGCGTACATGTGGGCAGCCTCTAAAGAACTGGAAACAATAAAGATAAGCTTCGGCAAAAAAGGGCAAGCCGTGTTTACTTTCATACAACTGTATCATATTATTACAATTAATGCGTTTTACAATGCATTTTGCAAAACGCATATGGCAATACATTATTTGCTCCACTTTAACTTCTCTATTCCTTCACTGATGTTAAAACACATTAACCCAACGCTGATGGTCTTCCACATATATTGTGTGAATGTGAACCAAATACTTGAAATTCATCAGGAAACGGTATAATATTTGCAACTGTATTCATGTAAGCAAACAGCTTTTAAAGTTTAAAGCATTAAAAAATTACTTTAAAGCATTCACAAGAGTTACATATGGGAGACCATTTTCATTCAAATATAAAATACTCTTGAAAATGAATCGCTGTTTTGCAAATTAAAATCGTGATTATCTATGTTCACAAAATCAAAGACATCAGTCTACAATTAATACCTTTCACAATTCTATTTTTACAATTGTTTTGGAATATTTTGACCAATCAATTACCATAAACACATTGTTAACTAAACTCAGTTGGGGCATTGCACATTACTAGTTGGGGGTAAAACAGTAGCTGTGGGCCTGTAGCTATAAAAAGTGCATATAAATAAATCTGTACGAAATTTAATTTAGTTATAGATAATGTGATTTGAATAGGTTGTAGAACTGAATTCAATAAAATCAGACTAATTGAAATCAGGGGCTGGCGAACGAGTCAGGAGTGGAGGGGTGTCGTTTGCTAACGGCGAACTTTTACAACGAAAATTTTTCACTGAAGTATACGGCGGTCCACATACAGTTTTACTGAATTTCTTTGCCACATTGGCAAATTACAATTGTTGACAAGCGATTGATGAACTTTTTGTTTGCGTCACTCATATGAAAACGCGCGTGCTGCATGAGCCCACCATACTTTTATCCAGCATGCAGTTCCCAAGGCAACAACGCGTAAGAGGAAATTAAAAATCGAAGATAGTTCTTGCAAACTAGAATACGCTTGAAAAACCTTACGGAATGAAGGAGATTGAAGATTGTATTTCTAAACAGAATCGCTCGGAAAGTGTCCCATTGCCCGCTTACAAGTAAGCGTCTTTATTACTTTATGCTTGTGAGTAAAACGTTTTGTGGTGGGACAATTCATATGAACTACAGTCTGTGAATGACAAAAATCGGGGAAGAACACGAGACAGAATCTTTAAAAAAATATTGCAAAACTTGTAGCAAACTTAACAGTAGCAATTCTCTGATTTAAATTGTATTAGGAAAAATATTCTTGCAGTTTATTAACATGTCGGAGACTGTAGGCGAATAAATATTTGCTTGAGGATTTGCCATGTGTATTTTTAATAATTGCACAGTCTATCAAGACAGTGGGTTTGTCACAAAGTTGTTTTTCAAACAGATTGAATATCATGATGTATTGATGTTATTTTTATTTTGATGATAAGGAGACACATTCACGCTGCCCGCCAAATTGACGTATTTCTTTAGTCAAACCATAACCGCGGGCAGCCTAGAAATGTTTTCGTTCTCGTGGCGCTCGCGCGAGTCTACTAGGTCCATTATTATGTCATAATACGACTATGGTCAAACGAAATGCTAAGAAAACGTAAGCAGAACGTAAGAAATGTTTGTAGTAGATGCCTTAGACGTAGAATTGCATTGCAAGTTGCAAGGAAAGTTGCATAGTCATAGTGTAACACCGCCTGTATGCAGGCACAAAGTTGATCGTTTAGTATTTCTACTTAAAACTAAAAAAAAATTAAAGATACAGGCTTGAACTCCACTTCGTGGGTTATTACTCCAGTTTTTTTGGAGTACTCTGATCTGTGGCCATTGCACGCCGTTGATTTTGTTGTTTCACGTGTTTACGCATGAATTTCTTCCGATTTAGACCTCAAATACTGAAATACCACGACTATTCGATCGGGCGATCCACGCCCCTGTGGACGGTAAGCGACGCGGCAAAAAACGCTCTGCGCAAATCGAGGTTGATGGAACTCTCGAAACCACGCCCAATGCACCCGGAATATCAGCCTCCGAAGCCCGCGATCCCTGTGATCACGAAAGCAGCCAAAGAGGCCTCGCCCTCAGAGCGCCTGGACGAACTGGCAAAAGCCTCAAAACGAATAATCAATATGGAAAACGAATGGAGAGTGAAAATGTCCGCATTGAATTACAAGCCCAGTGAAAGGATACTGGAGTTATCTCGCCCGCGGCCCTTCGCGAATGGTTACCTCCCTTGCAAGACTTCTGACGAAACATGGCGCGTATCGCCGAATGCCCGAAAGGCATCGACGTCGGATCGTGTCGACGAGCTGAGCAAGCCTCAAGTACGGACTGTGGGTACCAATCTCCCGCGAACGGACGCGTTTGTCGTCTCCGACGCGGCAAAAAAAGCAAAAGCGAGCGATCGTATTGTCGAACTATCGCAGCCCGTAGTTCGAGGCCATTAGCAAGCTACGGTCATCTCTTCCAATCGTGGAATGCTAGTGATAACTATTTCATGTCTTTAAGTAATGTGTAGTAAAATAATAAAAACAGTAGTATATTTCTATTTTTTAACCCAAAACTATATCCAAAAACCGATTCGAAAAATTTTCGTAGAGAATAATAGGCAAAATTAGTGAAGTAATCTTCACTTTGGTTCAAATACAAAGATACGAAGAGTCATATTTCCACCATTGCCGTTCACGGTAACCAAACTAACTATTAGCTTGTAACGCGAAGTTTGACGCGTCCAGCAAAGGACCTTTCTCCAACTAAATATTTTCATTTCTAAGCAAAAGTACTGACGTTATCAGAATTTATAACCACTGAACTTTGTTTAGACTGGAACGATAACTGACGATTATTTGGCCGCCATCTTTGAAATAAATTTAAAGCTAAATTCAGGACCAGGGCCAGTCTCTCTCATTATTGTCGCAACAAATCGTCAACCGTGAAAACAACAACAATAGGAATGGACTGGCACTGGTCCTTCAATTTGGCTTCAAATAAGTTTCAAAGATGGCGGCCAAGTTATTGTTCCAGTTCACTAGTATTAACCAATATTCTAAGATTGTACTCCAAATTTTCCACAACTGCACAACACATGACCAAATTATGGTATTGCACTTAGACGTTCCATTAACTAAGTTTACTTGGAGAACTTTTGGTCGGTTGATCCGCCAAAATATTTTGTATTTGAGGCCCCGAGTTCTGGCTGATATTCACTCTATCGTAAATTTCAAACCTTCACTCGTGCTGTTCAACCCGAGACCATATTAGGGTATGGCTTATACAATGAACAATAACATTCTACCAGCTAACATGAAGTTTACCCATGGCAAACTTTTGAGGGTTTACCCGGCCGAACATCTTTCAAACACCGAGTACTGACCGATAATAATCTGTAGTGAGTTCACTTCAGCTGCATTCGTTCAGCAAATATTTCACGCGTCGCTCAGTTACGAGCTCACATCGGGGTGTCGTATACGTTTCACTTCGATATTATACCAGCTAACTTCACCTTATCTCTTGGTAAATTTTTGTTGGTTTTTCGCGGCCGCTTTCTTCTTCACCTGTTGCAATCGTTTCATTGAATTCCTCGCCATTTCGCGTGGGTTGGCATGACTGGGTGATTTTATTACCCCGCTGCCGCTGACCGCAGTGCTCGTCGCGAGATTAGGGATTATGAACGATTGATTCACCGACGGGCTGCTCGGCGAAAATAGCGGAGGCTGGGGACGAAATACGAAGAAACAGTTTTAAATGCCGTTGGAAAAAACAGAGCAGAAAATCGGCCTATGGTGGGGAGGGCAGTCCGAATGAAATGTTTATTGAGGTGTTTTATTTTATCCGAAAAATCTTGGCTTTTATGAATATTGCATGGCCAATATTGCACCAAGTGTGGGAACAGGGGGGGGGATTGCGGCAGAAACTTTGTGCCCTTTCCTTTATACGGTAAAAACGGCTGTAAAGACTGTCCTGTTGTATTTCAGTACAGGCTGATTTGGTATTTTATATGTTTCAAGAACTCTGCATTCAAGTAGCTATATCGTTATTAACATCTGCCTGGCACGGGAAATGCAGTTTCATCGCTATTTCAATGCAAATTCACTCTTGCGACCGATTTTCTAATTTATATCCCGAAACGAAATAGTCTATTGCATTTCATACCTTGTTTTGTTCGACTCTCAGTGGTGCTTTGAACGACTGTGTTTGGGGTTTATTAGACAGGATTCCAGGCGATGGGATTGGCTTTAATTTTGGCACAGCAGTCGCTGTACTCTAGAAATTAAACATATCTTGAAGTTAAACTATGTATAACTGTATTTTTAGCTGCTATGTTACTTCTGTTACGCAAAAAAGTTTACCAACAGCCAACAGTAAATAACAAAACGAAAATTCAAACATTCCATTTCCGTTGTTTTCAATGAAATTTTATGTTTATTTACAATTTTCGCGAGAGAAATGGAAAAATCCAAGAAATTCGGGTGGCGTATCACTCGTTAGCCAATCAAATCGCCGTACTATCTACTACATCCGGGACACGACGACATAACTAAAAATGGCGGGAAAACTGATGTTTGCAATTTGCAAATTGCAAGATGGCTTCGCTACGGCTGCGATTGATTTTTGACGTTATGTTTAACGAAATGAACAACTGTGGGGACGAGAAACGAAGCGAAAACGCCACAAAAAGTTGTTTGCGATGCTTAAGTCTCAAATGGATTTCGTTACAATAAACGAAGGTAAGAATTTAAAGACTTTCAACGATATTATTTGTTGTGTTTTTTTTTGTTTTATCTAAAGTTTTTTGCATGTTCTCGTTTTATCTAACACAGTAGGCTGCTAGGCAGTCGGGAAATGTTGGGAAAGTCGAGTTTGCTTTTGGCAATGGTTGATATAAAGGTATACTATAGGCGGTAATGCCATTGCAGAGCTCTTTGGCATATTTGGTGATTTTGATCGACTTTTCCGGATGCGTTCTTTTTAGAAATATTGGAAAGGTTTTTTTTAAAATTCAAGATTCATATGACTATGACTATGTGCAGATTTAAAACTTCCATCACGTACACAACCCTGAGCTGTGTGTACATTTTCCCTGTATTTACATCATATATGAAAAAGTACTGTCAATTCCATAAGAGATATCACAAAGAGATCAGACATACCACATGAACACATAGTTTTTCAGATGTAAAGCATACTGCACTCTTAGAAAATTTATACTTACGGCCTGTTTCATTTGCTTGGAACAGTTTCGGCAATACCAAACATGTCTAAGGTCATCAATACTTTGATCTGTGATGCGTGGCTTGTGACAGTTCTGTCAAGAGAAACATAAAAATATATAAACAGTCTGCTTACCACCGGGATCAACCAAGTAACACAAAACCCCAATAATGGTGGAACAGACCAACATGTCTAGCCCTAAAGATATATTCTAGAGACAAAACATGCCGAGTTTTTTTTGCAAAAACTCCTGTTTTCAGTTAGCAGTAAATGAATTGTTGAGGATACCCAAAATTTTATCAGGATTCCCTCTGCATGGCTTTCTATTGTTGTGGACTAAATATGGCACATCAAATGAGAATCAAATGTGTATCTGTATATTTATGTAGTTTGTTGCCCACCACATAACATAGTCAAAGTCGTTTGGTGTTGCTGTAGTTTACCTGATGGTAGAGCTCATGGCATTCATGACACTCTACTAACTGATTCCCAGGTATTCCACTTTTTCCACTACAAAAAAAAAATTAAATGTTATATGGGTAAGTTTCATAGGTATTAAAGTGCGATTACCCAAATCATTGTTGTCTAAATCAACCTATTCTTAGCATTCTTTACTTACTGCTAGATGATATTTGTCTCTAGATTTTACCTTGAACAAATAATACATTTAGAAACAGACAAGTCAGGTGACATTTCATGGTCTGGTGAACTCTCATGAGATTCAACATCCAAATCATCAAGCAATGATTTTCCAGTGCTGATTTCCAACTTTGGTCTTTTTCTTTTAACCAACAGATTGCTTGAGTTTGACTCTTCCAAAGTCTCTTCAACATAACTCAAACCTATATAGAAAGCAATCTTTCCTCATCAAACCATAAAAGTGTTTATCATGTTGTTTACTTTTGCCCAAAAAAATTTTCAATCAATTACCCCACTTGCATGAATGACTCTGCTTAAAAAGTAGCTACTCTAAAGCCATTTACTATAAATTTTTAAATTTTGCATTTGGAATGAATTGTCAATATATAATTGCACTGTCAGCTCCTCCTAATCTTCCTTTTTATAATTCATCCCAATCTCAATTTGATGACTTTATATGTTGGAAGGCTTCCAACAAATCTTCAGCTGCAAATCTAATCTTCTGTGCTACCAGGAAAATACTAGTAAATCATTACCAACCTAACTCTTCAACTGTTTCCATAATGTCATCGTCGGGATGATCATTAGTACCGGCACCAAAAGACAATGACTCGACTTCTACAGTTTCTGTGACATCTTCAGTTTTGACCTTTCCCAAAATTTGTAATGAGGTTTCCGGAACTTCCTCAATGGTGGCCGGACCACTGGAATCACTGGATATTGTTATTGGGTCTGCCTTTAAGGGAGGTGGTTTCGAAAGTGGCTTCTTGATTGTTTCGACTTGAACTGGTTCTTTGACTTCATCTTTCTTTTTCTAAAATACAAATACAGGGAATTGCCTAAAAACTGGCTGGTAAAATTTAAAATGGCAACTTGAGACAATCAATTTATATAGAATTTATAATTAGTCAGAAAATAAAGACTGTAATATCAGACAATAAACTACATCTTTGCTGAGGCATTAGGCTAGCAGACCCCCGCCTGAATGGAAATTCCCGTTCACGAAGATCCCGGGAAACGGTCAAAATTCATATCACATCGCCAGGCACTTTGATTCAAATGTTCTGAATTTAGTAAGTTCTGACTGCCGAGTGTTACCTCTGGAACATAATCAGGTTTCTTTCCTAAAACCTCATCTCTCAAAGCACATAACTGTTCTAAAGCTCTAGGATTTTTCGAGTGTAAAAGATTCAAAGCGCGGACTAAAATTGGGTCAATTTCAGACGCCATATTGGATGTACTACCACTTCACCACAGTTTAATGATATACAGTTATGGAACTCGCGGCGGAACCCTTTGATGTTGCTGTCCCCCTGCCTACGCCATTCCACGCGCCACGCAAATTGCTCTGGCAAGTGTATTTTGACTCTAAAGTAAGGGAAAAAGGTGTTCGAAAGACGAAAAATGTTAATATTTTAAAGCTGGCTCTATCGATCTCCATTTTTGCGCCTAAATTTTAAAAACAAACGGTAAGTGATTCTTTTTTTGTAAAAAATATATGCGTTAGGTTAAAGAGATACAAGCGCGATTGATTTTCTTTATCACGCTGAATGCATGCCACATGGTCGCCGATAAAATTAAGCAGTTATTTTTTCCATCAAATAAATTATATAAGTTGAACCATCCAGAAAACATATGAGCTGATTTAAAAACAAGCATGATTGATGTGTTATTTCTACAAATGAAAAATGCACGAAAATACTTCTTTAGTCATAAATTTATTTAGCCATAAAACTGGCAATGTAATAAAGTAATACTCATGAATATATGAGCATGCAAGTCAAATTTGTAATCCAATCGAAAATCCAATGGCCTCTCTATCGAAAAGATGGAAAGCTATCTTCCAATAAGAATTATATACATGCTGAAGTTATAAATGCTGAACTTTAAAATATTTTCTGTTTTTCTTCTTTGATGAACTTAGCTCCCTGTTGCCAAACTTCAAAGCTAGTGCAGCCTCATTTCACATACAACTGAACTAAATATATTTCAGGGAAGTTTGGGCACTGTCCGTGTTTGGATAGCTCGGGCATTTGAGAACAGATATATCTTGCAATCTTTGGTCTTTCAATACAACTGTTAAATTCGTTGACAAATACTTTCTCCATTGATGAGACATACCTGACAAATGCATCTTGTGGAATTGTCAACCCTTGAGATGATGTTAAGCCCTCATATGTCTTGAAGTAGCAGAGCAGTTGACTGCAGTCATCAAATCTCTTCGTTTTGAAGCTCGATTCACATGTTGAACAACTATGTTTATTAAGGCATTTCTTTAGCAAATACCCAGAAACATATGTAACTGCATTTTTACAAATCAAGTTTTGTTCTATTTCATCTGTTTTATAGTCAGTGTTGATGGATTCAAATTCAGTGTATTTCTCTGGACTAGTCTGGTCATTGCTGGTTGTGGCTGGTTGTGGTATGTTAGCTGGCTTCTCAGGATGTTTTCCAATTAGATATTCACCAAGGTCATCGGCACAGTTGCCAGTTACTAGTGGTGTGAGGTAATTATCCACAAAAAGCTTTCGAAAGGCTCTGATAAATTGGAATGGAGTTGGATTGTCAGAGTTTCCTCCTTGCTGCCTGATTAACCCAAAAAAGTTTTCAAGGGCATCTTGATTAAGCCGTCTTGTAAGGAGGAATTCAAATGAATAATCTGTACTGAGATGTTGCCATAATAGACATAGAGCATTTAAAGTCATTGTGAGACCTTTCAAGCATCTCAAACTGTTTGTGACATCTTCTTGACTTTCTTTATCTATAACCTTGATTGATGCAACAAATTTTAGCATATCAGCAATAAATTTGTGGTGAGGTGAATCTTTTGAGACTGGTTTCTTGTACATCTTTGGACTATTAAGTGTGGAACTGTTTAAACAGTCAAAAATGTTATCAAAATTTGATACTAACTCAGCAGTGCCCACAGCAGATTGGGGAAGAGCACCAAATGAAATGTACATGTTTATTGTTGAGGCCACTGTATGACTCAGGACTTGAGTTGCAAGCTTGACTTTCATTTTCTGAAAACCATTTGGATGGAGATGTTTCTCTGTCAGTTTGGGACAGCATCGAATTGTCTGTTCTTTGTCACGCTCATATATACCTTGGATATGATCCCAATTTGCAATCTTTTCTCCAAAATGAAAGTTGTATTTCATTAGATTATTTCGTACAGCCTTTATTATGTGTGGTGGGTCGAAGAGGTAAAAGATTTTCTTGCCGTTGTGAACAAACCATGGCTTCTCTGGTGTGATACTCATTTCTCGTAATAACTTTTGAAAGTTGGAACCCAAGTCGGAGATGATTGTTTCAACATGTAGACCCAGTGATGTTAAGTCGTCAATGATCTTCAGTAAGATGGATTTGATTTTTCCACTTGGACATGCTTCATTTACGAGAACATAGCCAATGGGTTGTTTCCAATTTTCTTTGATGCCTCTTGCCATGAAAACAAGGGCTGCTGTGGCAACCTTGCTTGATCTATCACCTTCACCAAAATCTTCTAGGCCCGTCACTTCATCTTTAGATTGGTCATACTGGAGGTTAGCTTTTAGGGAAATTTCATCCATTGTTAAGCTGCATATTTTGTCAGTCTCATTCATCGATTTCACTTTTTTACCAATCATCTCTTTAGCAATTTCAGGCAATCCTGAACAAGTTGGAAAGCTAGATACCCATTTCGTAAGACTGCTCCGGGAAGGTAAATTGAAAAATTTGGCAACCATTCTATAGGCTTTCCCACTAAGATGGAAAAGAGAAAGGGCGAAAGACTTCATCTCTTTTGAGTACCTCTGTCCTTTGTTCTTTTTCTTTTCAAGGTCGATTTGGAGGGCAATAAATTTCACCATTCTATCTGGTAGCACGGTTTTCAGTGCATCAAGTGCTGTTTCTCTATCTGTCTTTGATTTTTTCTTCTTCATATTCATTGCCTGCCGAAGTCTTTGTAGCTGTTTTTTCTGTCTTGATATTGTTAATTTGCACTGCCTTAATTTATTATTTAGCTTTCTTTGCTCTTGTGTGTGATGAGTACCTGTTAATAATGTTTAATTAACAAAGGTCATTTATTAACACTCTATTTTATTTCTGTATGTGTTATGCCATAGGGTTAACCCCTTATGAGAATATTGAGCTATATTTATGAGTCATGGAAAACTAACTTTTCCTGTTCTAATTTTTTATAGATATGTAATGATGGAATAATATTTCGATTTAGACCTTTGGCTCTGGTATCATCATGATTTTCTTGGTCAGCAGCATGGTTGAAAAAACCTATTTAAGTAGATTGGAAATAGGCAGTATTATAAGTATGAAAGTCAAGTAATGTAGTAAAAGGACTTTAAATGACATAGTATCTCAGTTTGGCATCAGTTGTGTTTAGTATGTCTTTACCTCTAGTTTCCATCTCAGGTGGTGTGACTTGTTCATTGTGATTAGTAAAGGTTGTTGCTGGAACTGGTGTATTGTTCAAGTCTAAACATGTCAATATTGTTGAAAATGAAGTTAAAATTATTCTAATATATTTGAGAACTCGAATTACATTGAAACTATAGTTGCAATGATATGAACCTAGATATGGTATAGACTATATGCTCCTACCTTCTTGTGCAGAACTTTGTTTGTACGTTTTTCTTCTCTTTTCTAAATTAAGTTTCATTGAAAAATAATTAGGTTTATGCGTTATATACATATTACTTATAAGTTTAATGTTTATTCAAATATACTACTTACTAGTGGCAACCGTCGCCTCGTCCCTTTGTAATAGTATCCGTTTTACACCAATTCTTGCAGGTGGATTTGGTATGTTAAACAATGTTGGAACGGCTGTATTTTTTAGAGTTTTTTTGGAGGACGTGGCGAACATTTCCTTTTCGAAATGCGCGCTGCAGACTCTTATGTTTCGATACAAATATTCGGCGTCTTTTTTTATCAAGTCATTTCGTCTGCAATTAATTGCCCATTTTTTCGACCTAATTTGCAAAAATTTACATTATTATATCAGTTTTTTCCATCCCGAAAACCCTTTGCGAAAAACAATTTATCACTTCGCGATTTATTTGGTTGTCTCACCTTGCTCGGTCCTTTGGAAAGCGGAAAAAAGCGACATCCGGATTTTTTATTTTGTTGTTGTTACATTGCAATGCCGAGCACCAAGTCGTCCCACTTTTTCGCTTTTTGGTATATTTCGTGCTAGTTTCCATGATATCGGCAAAAGCAATTATGTTTTACATTTGTACAGATCCAATTTTTTTGCAAAAAGTAGTTCTCCGTGTCTCTTTGTATTAAATTTAGTGAAATTTTGTCGAAAGGTCCGACCGCCAGAAAAAAGGTACGGAAAAGACACTGTTTTTGTACACGCAATGCCCAATACGACATAATTTTAATACTATGACACAAAATATGACACAGAGACTATGAGATTATACACATTTATGTAATATTTAATATCTATGTAAGATGTCGGTTTGTACTCATATTTTTCTGCGATTACAGCTAGAATTTGGCATGGGTATATTTAAGTAATTGAGAGATTTTTTAAAATAATATTTGGGGAAACTAAGAGAATTATTATTGAGGTATAGATCATCAGATATTTCTTACAAATTTATCATGACTACGATTCTAGCTTTAATCACTGAAGCTTTGACAGTGTATAAAAGCACCTTGATGTGTGAAGGCCTAAAATTGCTACATTGCACAATTTGGAAATAAACCATTTTGTATTAGATTGAATAAATTTCATGAATACAATTATTTACGTAATATTTTATATAACCGTATTCTTAATCAATTACATCTTGAGGCAAATCAGGCTTTGATCAGTGAAACATATAAATTAGGCTTTGACCCATGGAAGATTAACATGGGCTAAAGTGTATGTTTACTTCACTTCCCTTCTTTAAATAAAGTTTTATTGTTATTTTTAAACATGCCAGTATAAGCATTTTGTGCTCTGAAACTAACATGACATCAGCTGAATGTGTCCAACCTTCTCTTTTACAATTCAATATTAATGTTGTAAAATGTGCATTACATGGATAGACTCAAGAACAAAGCTTTTTGTTGAGATTTAGACTAATTAAGCCTAAGTAATTTGAGCTGTCAAGGCATAAAAAGGGTAATACCGGTAGAAAAGCTTATCCATATATATGAATAACATAAATTTCTTATTCTAATATGCATGCTGTATAATAGAACCATTGTCTGCCAAATTAAGGATCAACCTGTCTCAGTGAGCTAATAAAAATACATATAAGGCTGGATTAGAATTATCAATGAACTACGTATATGTTGTAAAAATTCTTTTAGCCACCTAACTCGCTATCTAGAACAGTAGAACTTATAATCTGGATTAGAAATATCAATAAATATCAATATTTCAGTTTTATATTAGCCATCTATTAAAACTCGCTATCTCAGTAGAACAGTAGAACTCCGGCAATATGTCCAATCTGCCCAAGAGACAAGAGTTCTTCTCAACTCTGGAATATTTACCATCTACAAAGAAAATATTTTTTCTTCACTGCATATTGGCAAAAAATAGACCTACATTTATTACATGAAATACCAAACCTTCAATTTTTACCTGGCAGTTCTTCTGGCAAGCTTCGTGTGAAAATCGCACTCCTCGTAGTTGTATATTTCCCGTTTTTTTCCGTTTTAATTCGTATTATCGCAGTGATTTTTAATCCAAAAGGAGCAATGTCGGATGGATAAATAAAATTTGTCAAAAAAACGAAGAGCAAAAGATCCATGGCTTTAAAATTGCATTTTTTCTGCTAAAAAATCGAATTTTCCTTATTAAAAAGTGCAAAAACACTTGCCAGAGCCTAGCGCGTGCGCATTAAAAACAGGGGGACAAGATTTGCCGCGAGTTCCACCTCTGTGTAGTACTCTGTGACTTCACACACTGAGCTATATAACATACCAGTTAACCAATTATTGGAGAATTTCTGAGAACTTCCTCGTTGGTTATCAAGCCAGTCGATATATGGAACTACGTCCAGGTGCCTCTTACTGGTTTATTCTCGTTTATTTTGGTCTTGTGCAGTTTCCACAAGCAATAGATGCCACAATCTACGGAAATATCCACACAAAATTCCGGATAAATAGTTATTATTCATTCTTATAAAAGCTCAGTCTTTTGCTGCAAAATCGATGGTGGAAACCCCGATTCTGAACACGAATTGTCACCCATGAACTACAGTATTCTGTAGTATCCTTATAATCTGAAAGACATCGAAAAGTACTGAGGATGGTGTCTCGACTACAGTTTAATTTACAATACGTTCACTCCAAACTAAAATTTAGCATAAAACACAAGTAAAGTCTAGTGTATAGTTTGTCGACGCAAAATTGACAGGCTAGAAAGATCACGATAATATTTGCAGTACGTATTCGTAAAATCACTCAATTCACGAAGCCATTGTTTCCATTTTTTCTTCAGCTTCGGCGTCTTCCACCTCGGCAGAAGTGGGGGTTCCAGAGGTGGGGTTCTCGCTCGTTGCCTCCCCCGAGGTTTCAGCAGATTCTTCGCTCTCCATCGTCTCACCCTCCTCTGGTTTCTCTTCCTTTTCGTAAGCTTTCGTGCCGGGTGTGACGATAACACCGCCCCAGCTCGTCACCTCCGAATCCACAGCTAAAAATGAAAATTAGAGTACGAATACAGCGTTTTGGGAACACGTTGCGACAGACAGAAGATTTCAAACGTAATCTCACAAAAATCCAATTTCTCTCAAAGAGAAAGGAATTAGGGCGGAATGCATATTGCAAAAGGAGAATCTACTTGGAAAGTCTTCACCTTAGCAAAAAATATGGAATAAACTCTCATCCATGATAGATAGGTATTGCACTGTCTGTTCATAGAGAATGCGTATGTGAACCTGGATTACAAACGCAAACCGAATGTTTACTTACCAACGGAAGGAACACCTTCTGATACCTATTACGAAATAGAAAGGTGTTATTGGTGTATCTAGTTCAAACAATGCAGTTGAATTATTGTGTAGCACCCACCGAGCCAAGAACTTCTTTAACAGCGCCATGGGATAAACATCGTAGGAGAGTTTGAGCAGATGTGGCAATGGCATCCTAGGAAATGACAAGAATGACAGAAGCCAAATCTAACAAGTGGGGACAGGAAACGAAGGGTGCTGACAGTTGGAAACAAACTACATCGGATATCTCGCCAAATAAAACAACTTAGTTCTTCCAGTTTCTAAATGATCTATATATTATGACTAACCTGTTCTTCCAAGCTTAGTACACTGTGAGCTCGGACATTTCCAGACTAAAAATAGAAGGAACACTAAAGATGAGTTTCTTTGTTATGCAATAATCTCTGACAATGAGTGTTAGGAAGTTGCAAATATGTGGAAGTTGCAAATAATCCGTCAACCCACCTCACAAGGATCGATAATACCAATAGATCCTGGAAGGAATAGTCCCGACGCCAATAACTGCAGTGCTCGTCTAATAAGTAGGTAATAAAATACAGCAAATATGGTATGACAATTGACTATATATTCTGTACGACGGTTCTTGAAAGCTAAGGAAACACGAGATCTTACTACAATCACAAGTAGTGTTTGTTTTTACGGTAATTAGGGGATGGGATTTTGCATGTTGTCAACCAAAAAAGCATAATTTCTTCACCGCTATATTATAAAGATGAATATCATGCACTGTCTGATTTCTTGTGGGGTTTTGGAAATGAGTTGGATTCCTACACAACGACTGTGGAAACCATGCAATTACCTGAACGCGACGTTGATTGTGACAGGTTCATTTGACACCGAAACTGTTGCCCTGTGTGCCTTGGAATGAAAAACACGGAAGTAAGAAATGGCGAATATAACAATTTCGGATTTCTTAAAGTGAAGAAAACCCAGTATGTGAGTAATGGATTTCACCTTATTTACATAGCGCGGAAATGCGGATGAATATTGTGAAATAAAATACAATTCATTACCAGAAGGTCGATCAACCAGGGCGTAAGGCCTTGCAAGCCGGTTGTATTAAATCTGTTTTTCATATCCTTCAGTAATCGGACCAAAATTCGAACTCTAAAACAGTGGAAAAGAGTGCAGTGCATAACGCTGTTAAATCTCTTGATTCCATGCATTCTTGTGTGATACACTAGTATGCATGGTGTTTGCCAAGGTATAAACAACTAAAGAAACTTCTTGGCAAAGCCTTAAGGCACACCAAAGGAGTGCTTATTTTCTGGTTGGTCTACTTAATCAGGGACTGAGATGATGGTCTATACTACCATCTATGTCCACTGAACTATAGTATAGAGTTGTTTTCCTGACTAAATTGCATAAAACTTACGTCGTGTGGAAAGCATTTTCCTCGAACCATCTCGAGTGTCGTATCGTTGCTAATGCACCCTCAAGGAGTTTTACATCGACTAGAAGATTAAAAACAGCAAAAATCAACGCTCGCGAAATAGTTTGACAATAGACGATAAGAGGTTTTAAAGGTTTGTGTTTGCAAGTTGAGTGACAGCTTTATACAAAGTAGCTACTTCGTACCGTGTGTATCTGGTTTTGCGTCCCGAAGATTTTTTGGTAAAGTCGTTATCAATATTCTCACGACGACACCGCCAGAACTTAAGTTAAAACCTGTGGAAATATATAAATGAAATAAAAATTGCTTTGTGCAGGATCATGCTAGATCACTGAGCTCTAACTATAATTGAGCTCAGTGTGGTAGAGACAGTTCTGTTTGCCTACTGTAAGTCTTACTAAAGTTGATAAAACAATAATTATACAATGGTCAATGCTAAGCATATACAATATTGTTTTGAGTAAGTACAAACCTCCTTCATTAACCTGAAGGGTGACTTCTATATAACACAAAAAAAACCTTTGTCAATGCGTGAAGAGTACAGAGGCCTTACACAAAAAATCCAAGTAAAATTCACAATCAGCTATAGGCTAACACAGAAGTGGATCGATGCGACTTATGCAATTGCATTAGTCGAAATTTCACATACACAAAAAATTAAATACGAAATTGGCGTAAATTAAAACTAGTCTAATTTGAGACACGTTGAAAATAGTGATGGTCAAATATACCTAGCATGGTCGAGTATACCTAGCATGGTTGAGTATACCTAGCATGGTCGAGTATACCATATTTCAGTATATTCAACCATGGTCCAGTATACCATACTCTGGTATATTCAACCATTGTATATTTAACCATGGTCGAGTATACCATATCCTAGTATATTCCAAATCACCTGTGCTTATGTGAACTGGTCTTCCTCAAATCATATTTGAATTAAATAAGTTTATTTCAGAGCCGATTTTAGTTTGTGATTATTGAATAGTGAAAGCAGTATATTCTAAAAAACAGGATATATGTATACAGTATATTACAATACACAGCTGCTTACCGTCCAAACCTAAACTTGGTTCTCTCAGTCCAATTAGAATTCTGTCTGCAACTTGTTGTATGCTTTCAACTTTAATGAGAACAAAAAATTTGATTACCACACATTGGATTGCAAACAATTGCAAAAAATCTAACAATCTTCAAAAAATCCTTGATGAATGCACCACTGCACTTGAATACTTACTGGTTGGTAATCTTTTAAGTATAACAGCAAGATCAGCAATAGGATGACCTGCCAACATTGTGCCTTTCTTATAGGAACCAACTGGTCGAACTTCTTCAATGCCCTGTTAAAGATTCAAGGTTGGGACGGTCATCAGTTGAATAGGGTTAACATACATTGTAAACAGTTGTACAGTACTATAGTGATTAGACCATTGTATCTTGCATGGTTTAATTTACATAACATTGATTGCTTACCAACTCTGCGGCATCTGGACTGACAATAAGTATGTCAATCATATCTGTTACTTTTGTGACCATGTTTAGCACAGCTGCCTAAATAAATAAATAGATACACACACCCCTTGAAATTTCCTGATTTTGCTGTGGTCAGCACAAGTTGAAAGAAGCAACTGCACAAAGTTTTGCTCTTCTTTACGATTTAAAAACCAGATATGATTTCTCTGTACAGAAACAAAGCTTGCTTAATTGGAATTAAAGGTGAAATTATGCAATTTTGTACCTGTTCATGTGAAGACTGTGTAAGTTCCTGGTTTCGTTTTAAGAGAGCCTAAAAATTAAAAGGAAATTATATGGAGTACAAAGCTGGAAAAAAGAACCAAATCTTATAAAAAAGGAACCACCAAAGTTGACAGGCACACATACCTGGGTCAAAGCAGATTCATCAGCCTCTGGAGCAGCTCTTTGAAATGCTCCGGATGCCTAAAAACGCAATTCACAGTAAAGGTATGTACATGTACCAGCAGTGCATAATTCCCACACTCAAATTTTATCTTCAATTTTTATTGTAAGGCAGATTTGGCACAAGGATGTGAACGTCCAAGACATTGTGAATATAGCAAATACATTTTCACATATACTCTTTGACATTCACATCTTCATACTAAATCTGCATATTGCAATGACAATGTGAGATGATGTTGTTGAAAATGATTTCATTTAGCAACCATTGGGATGTTGAAAGCTATATATGCTTTCCCAGGTGAGCACATTTGTAAACATTTAACTGGATGCTTTTTATAACAAAGCAGGTCAAAAGTTTAAAGGAGGTACTGTACTTTGTTAAATATTTCTTTAAAATCATTTAAAAAAAATGAAAGGCCTTAATGCAATCATTAAGTACAAATTTGGTGATTATATATGTATGCTGCACCTTAAAAAGATCAAATGGTGAATGTGTAACCACAAATTTTTGTCCAGGGGCAGGTCTAAAAAATGCTTGGGGTATATGGCCACCTCGACCACCACGTCTTCCACCTTTACCCCTAAATAATTGAAGGTATTATCATCAGATCAATCATTTGCTGTTAACAATAATTATCTAACAATGGTAAGGATATATAACTTCTTTCACAAAAGTGGTATGAAAATACATAAGAAAACATCTCAACATTAAACCCAAAGGCTTTGACGGGAGGTTATGTGTGACATACCACCCTTAGATTGAAATGTTGGGAAGTTTTCTTGTATATTCTAATCAATTGCTTGAGCCATAAATTCAATGAGAATAGTGGTAAGAATAGTTCAACAGTTCTTGTATGAACAAAGCCATCTAACAATTAACACACTTATCACAAAGGAGTATCATACTCAGGAATTTCAAGAAGCAATATATATTGTTATCAACAGTCACACACATTTTTCATGCAGCAATATTTTACAAAGTAGAGCCAACTTCAATCTGTCACAACAATTGTGGCAAGACCACAGTTCATTTTCTTATCAACAACATAGCATTGTATGTATAGCACACCTCTATGCAACTTCCCTTGCAGTTTTAACTGACTGTCACACTCAAATTATGATTGTTGTGCATCAGATGATTGCTCATTGTAACATTACTTGCAATGCAATCCTGGCATCACTGTTAATAATAGCAATGCAAGGCAAGTTGCATACTCTAACATGTCCTAGTTGCTAGCTTAGCAGGACGGACTTTGTGCAAAGGGCCACTACATTCACTAGTCCAACTTCAATGGAGACAAGCGTGCACAAGCAGACAGGCGTGTACAAGCAGATTGTCTTGTTTTGAATCGAAGATACACGTGAATGGATGAGTGTTTATAAACTTTATATCATGTCAAAAACAAAAGGTGAAATACTTTTTATAATGTAACAAGCTTTACGCCTTACCAAAAGTTGAAAAAGTATGATAGTTAGTCCTAGAAGAAAGAGCATATGGTATGTATGATATTTACCTCATTTTTATTTAAAAAAAGCTGAAAAAACCAACCAAAATCCTTACAAATTACAATAATAAACACGAGACACAACCACTCGGCGCCAGACTTCCCAGTTCCCTCCTCTATAGTCTATAGCGACCTACAGTACCGGGACCCTGTACCCCTATTAAACAAAACTAGGTTACTCGTGGGTAGAAATGCTGCCTAAAAGCACGTCATTGTTCGGCTTGCGAATGTATAAAAAAGTAATGCTTAAGGAACAGTAATTTGCTACAGGAAAAACGAGCACAAACATAACCACCATACCTTTGATCAAATTGATGCTTAAGAAGTGAGAGTGTAAAACCCTCCACTTGAAAATTGAAGGATACAATTTTTTTCAAAGTTAAAAGCACGAGTGGCTCTTTGGCTGACTGCCTTATCAGTCTGATGATGATAATCCGACTGGGATTAGATCACTTCACCGGCGAGTTCCTTGACCTTATAATCTTATCTTTCGACAGCCAGGCATAGAAAATAAACAGTTTAGGATTTAAGGTTCCATACTATCATAATATGTATAGACTATAGTCCTACAGAAGACATTTCGTGATTTTCGTCAGGCTGTTCTTTGAATGTCGATTATGTGGTTAAACCGAAATCCAGATTGAGGCTCGCGGTTGTATATCGCATCGCGGTTGCTAATAATATATGAATAAAGGCCCAGTTTCGGATACAAACCAACGAAGCAGGCGTTGCTAGCCTTGGTTTCGCATTTACAAATTACAACAACATTTCAAAACATTTTCGCATTTACAACATTTTTATACTATATTTGCCAGGATACAAAAGCGGTTTGTTGCTTACGAACTGTTCGAGCTGTCAAGGCTATTCAAGTACTTGAAATCTTGAAAAGTTACTTCCCCATTTCACGCCCACATTGTTTACCATGCACTCACGGCATCTAATCGACTGTTGATAAGGTTTTGCGAAGCTGGAACGCACGTCAGGGGATTCCCCAAAGATAGATAGTCAGATAGATATAACTTCTTATTTCCGGAACTGGAACTCTCGGTCGCTATCATTGAGGCCAATTTGAAGCCGAATTGGCAACAATGCTAATCCATTTTTATTGTTTTTGCCATTTTTGTCGGATTACTGTCAGTTGTCGTTGCAGTCTTTAACGAGTTAACTGCTGACAAAGCAAGCATAGATCAGATTAAGCAAAGAAATATCATGTTATTTTCCCAATCTTGCTTCCAGGTAGTTCACGTTCAACCAGTCCAGTTTATGTGCTGGACCGCCAATCATTGGAAAATCACTAAAGTTCTTGTCAATCAGTGGTTTAATAAATCACAGTAATAATTTTTACTCCTGGGCATTAAAAATAGCTTCATATATTTAGTCTTAGATAGAGAGGATACCAGACCGAGTCAGGTGGGGGTCCGTAGACCCGTAGGGTGTTTTGCGATATTTCTATTCAAATAGACTAATTTTATTGAAACTGAATTTCCATCTTATTCAGTTATTCGGCTTATGCACTAACACGCCTAGCTGACGGTATCTATTTCACTATAAATAAAAAATATATACAAAATAAAAACAGACTTTACGTTTATATCGTTTGATGTAACATCATGGGTACACTACTCAAACTATAGTTCAGTAAAAATTCATCTACTTATATACAACCATTTGATTTATACAGATATCTTAAGTGTTCTGGTAACGGTGTATTGCCACGAGAGCAGGCCATGCATTTCGGTACAAAATACAAAACAAATTCTTATTTCTAAAAATTGTAAATGAAAAGGTAAACAAATGGCCTTGAAATTTTGTTCTACCTTTTCAATGTATGATACTAATTGAATTTTATTTTGGAATAATATTGCGACTTGTCAACCTATTTCATAATTGTTTAATTCCCGTGTGAGATTTCATGACGCGGGAGTTAAAATATCAACTGATACGAAACTTGCATTTCATTATTGTGGTGACGAATTGAAAGCAAAACATTTCATTATTATATTGCCCACCAGACGAACCTCATACTTGTGGTTATGCACTTAATCAATCTGAAGTTTCTAATATTGCTATGCACTCAGCGTACGAAAACAAAAGCGGCATATTTTCAAATGATATCCGCAATCCTTTCATTGTGAGAATTCCCCGTTGCGGATTCCCCTGACCTGTCACAATTAAACTGGAAAATAAAGCGGCAATTTTTTTCGAAAAATCCAGTCCAGTGGCAGTGGAAAACCGCCTTAACCCAACAATGGATCAAGGTTTCACACTAAACTTATCTATGCCTAACCTTCGTGCAAGAAACAAACCGTTAAACAATCGATTGCAAGAAGCACACAATAACAGTGTATACATTGAGTGCAATCAGCTCCCCTTCCCGGGAAAATTAATTACAGTTATTAAAGGTTGCATAAATATAAAGAAATTATTAGTCAAACCATGCCAAGATGCCTCTCTTCAAATTCTATTCCCTCATTAGGTAGTCCCTCGTCACCAGTTTCTAGTTTCTTCTGCGGCAGCGCGTACTTCAACTGTTGCCAGAACCATTTACTCTCCACGCTCAGATACGTATTCGTCTTTAGATACAACTTCAACTCGTCATCCAAACTGTCCACATCAACATCGTCAAAAAGGACGACGATCAAATAATTCGCACGTCCCTTTAGGACCTTCAGATGCGCGGCACGAAATTCCAACATGCACCATTCGCTTTGTATGAAATTTCGCGATAAAACCATGATCATTCGACGACTCTTTTTAACACAGTCAAGGATAGTCTCGGCAATTGGTGTCCCCGGGATAAAGTCCCTGTAGTGAACGCATAATTTATACGGTGGATTGTGATCTTTTTCCAATTTTACTTGCAAAGTTTCTTCAACCCAAACTTTATCCCTCTCATTGAAGGAGACGAAAGCGTCGTAGATCTTGGACGGGTCTGAATCGTCCACGCGGTCGAACGGATGCCAGTTAAATCTCGTGTAAAGAATAAGCTTCAGTTCTTTACGAAAACGATACAGAAGAACGGCTGTAATGATAACCACGACTAGAAATCCTGCGACAACAAAGGAAGAGATGGCTGCTATACTTTCGTTAGGATTCTCTCCCGTATTGGCATCCTGCACACAAATAAAATCGCTGTCTTCAACCAAAATTAAGGGCTTTCCCTGATTTCTATCACCAGAGCTACAACCAACACTTTTTGCACCCCCAATAAATGCGTTCCGTTCTCTTTTTAACCAGTTTTTCATCCAAAGACTCTCACAGTCGCAGGTAAAATAGTTATTTTGTATATTGATTTTGGATAGGGTCAAATTTTGAATACGTTTTGGAAGTGTGGTTAACTTATTCGAATACAAGTATAATTCTTTTAACTTCAATTTGGAATCGTCTAAGGTAACACGTTCTATCTTGTTGTGACTGGCGTGAATTACGCTAACATTTTCCAAGTGTTTCGAAAGATTTAAGTTTCCAATTTGATTGTGCTCAATATTCAATTCGATCACGCCACCAGGAAGTTCTTCGGGGACTGTCGTAAGGTTCCGTTCCCGGCAGTTCACGAGCGTCGCAGAACCAGGATAACCTTGGTGATAGCAAGTGCATCGCTTAGGACATTTTGAGCAATTACGTCTCTCGCACCACAACTGGTTTGGATGGACATCCAAAATTTTCTTTCCACGCAAATTCACTGGCGTGTAACAAATCCAGCTTTCAAAATCCTTTTTCGTGATTTCTTTAACAGCTGTCGTCCAGTATCGAATCCACGATAGCAAACCTCGAGTTTTGCAGTCGCAATGAAGAGGATTTTCCTCCAAAATTATTCTAAAAGTTTTTAGCACGGACTCGAGCTTTTCCATTCTAAGCTTACCAAAGTCGTTCAGATCGAACCGTTCAATCGCGTTCCCTTGAAGGTTGAAGGTTTTCTTATTTCGAGAATTTGTTGTCAAGTCACGCGTGGAAGTCGTATCGATAGAGCTCCCTGTGTCGGTATGAAGAAACAAAAAATCGTGTCCGTTGAGTTCGTCTATCATTTTAACAAAACCAGCAAAGTTGATTTCGTTATACGACAAATCAAAAGTTACCAAATTTCGAACGTAAAGACCAAACTGTGGTACATCGCGCAACTTATTCTTACACAAATTAATTTTCTTCAGTGCGTCGAAGACGCCTCGGGGAATTGCGTTAGGCTCGACGACACGCAATAGATTGTTCTCGAAATCAATCGACTCCAATTTTTGCAACTTGTCGCTAAGAAAATTGTTTTGTAATGTGTGTATGAAATTGTTTTTCACGTTTAACTTTCGAAGATTTTCCAATCCTTCGAATATTCTTCCATCTAACGAGGTGAGGTTGTTTTTATTCAAGTTTATCGAAACTAGATCCAAAGTTTTCTGGAAAATTCGTGCGGGGATTTGGCTAATATTGTTCTCGCTCAAATCGACTATCTTCAAACCGATCACTTCGTCAAATATTGTCGAATTAATAGATCTCAATTGGTTTCCGCGCAGAGAAATTTTATCTACTTTCCCAGAGGGATTTTTCAAATGGTTCAGCTCTGGGTTGAATTCTACCATAAGAAAGCGCCGATAAACTCGCGGACTTATTGTCGCACCCTCAGAATAATGATCGTTCAATAAGGTAGTACGGGACAAATTTCTCGGAAGCTCCAAACCTTGGTTTGACCATGGGAAATCAGGTAGTGCCCGGAGATTATTTCCTGATAATTCCAAGGACTGTAAATGAGGCATAGTTTTTTTCAAAGTCCTCAGTGTTTCTGCCTCAAGGCGCATTTTGCTAAATTGTACTTCAGCCATTTTCTCCCAGACATAGGACAAAAACATTCGGGGCATTGTTTTGTTTTTCAAATTGTTCAGAACCAAACTCCCGATATTAAACAACCCTTCCAAGTCAGCCTCAGTCTCCCCTTTGTCTTCCAGTATAACCTGATTCCACATGTACAGGACACGCAAATCCGCAGCTCGTCCCCAGACTGCAAGGTCTGCACCGGACACACGGCACTGATTCCTCAGCCGAAGATACATTACCCGGTCCTTTGCAGTAAAATTACCCGGCCGGCAAAAAGACAGCCTTGCCGGGGAAAGGCAGTGGAATCGGACGTCATTTATAGTGACAACGGATTTTTTGAGCCGTTTTTTGAAAATATTTGCTACATTGAAATACAATGTACATTCCTCCGTATTATTCTTCCCTGAAACCTGGATGATTAAACTTTTAGTGTTGACAAATGTTCGCCCGCCAACTTTAAACAAGGGGCTTCGTTGCTTTTTTTCAACGCTGTATGAGACATCGCATGCGTTGGTAGACTGCAAAACCGTATTTGAGCAGCTGTCGTTGAAAGCACTCCGCTCAGCACGCACGGAAATATGAAGGCACAGCAATATGCCGATGCTGAACTGTAACATAATAAAGCTATCTTTCAACCTATGTTGAACTGTTCGACGTCAAGGTCAAATAACACTTAGAGGAACTTCGAAGCGAATAATTATATAATCAAACACACTTTAATGATCACCGCGGGAAGCGGGCGTGGCAAATCACATGCAAGGAGAGTGTAAAGATGTGGATTCCCAGCGCAATATACTGAATCAAACTGCGACGTACTGTAAACAGACCAATTATTTGTAATTCCCATTTTAGAACAACAAAATGCATCGCTTTCGCATTCCAAAATTCCACAACACTACGCGCAATTTTAGGTTTGGTGCGGATAAAATTGAAATAAAATCGAAATATCACAAACTTATATTCGTCTTGTCTTAACTGATCCATATGCTTTTCAACATGCTAATTTTTAGTCACATTTTATGTGTACTTTTTAAAATTGTCGACTGGAATCGATTTTCAATTCATAGTTTATCGACGTCGACATACTGATCATCAAGCCGAGGAGAAACCCGCTCTCTGTGGAAGTAGAACGAACGTCACCTTTTGATGAAATAACCGGAAGATTTACAGTACGCGAGCAGGCCAGCATGCGTCTAATTTGAAAAGTGCTGTAGTGTACACTTCACTACACATTCCACGTCACAGTCCAGGTTTTAGACTGTCGTTGCATCACACGTTTGCATATATTTTAACTTACAAATCGGTTTTTTTTGTTTCATACGGTCATGGCGTAGGTCCAAAAATCAACAACATGCAGTTCACACAATCTTGCATTCTTGAAAAATATTGTTACATTCAAGTTGAGAAGAATTTTGAAATTGGCATTCGCAAGTTTTGGCAAACAAATCATGAAATTCTCCAAGCAAAACTTGAAGAAGTGCAAAATGCAAATAAATTTGAATTCTCGGCTTTGAGAGAGAGAAAGAAAAATTACGAAAACACGAGGTTTCCATTCCACAAATATCTTAGCGTCTCGTGTTCGCACCAAAACCATTCGCACGCTTTTTAGCTGATCATCAACTTTCACTATTACCTAAAAGGAATATTCTTTTTTCCTATTTTGGTACATTTCCATACAGAGAGAAAAGTGTAATATTCCAGAATTGTGGTACTTAAAAGAAAGACGTCATTGAAAGTAAAGGCTATATATCAGCTGGAGACAAGAGCCGGAAAACAATATTATATGACATGAGTACCAGGAAAACGAAAGCGTTTAGAAACATTTGCATATCATATTAGATTTTCAGAGCTTGAAGCAAGCTTATAGAACAGAGATATTGTTTTTGAAATAAGGAATTTTTAAAAACATTAAAAAAACCTTGACTTCGGCGAAATTACAGTAAGAAATGACACCTTGATAGCACACAGGAGGCGTAATCATACGTTCAAAGGTAATTTGAATGTGTTTTTTTTAATGTCTTGGCATTTGAAAGAAGCTCAAGTTGTGCATCTTTCTATAACCCAAGCCGGCCAAAAGCATACCCTTCAACGAAGAAGAAATATCGAATTCAGAATCGAGCCAAATATCGTAACCAGAATATCGTTTTTTTTCACACTACACAGAGACAATGAAAATTTAACTGTTCGCCATATACAAACTCATACGACAGACTTCCGCTGTACTATATATAGACTTATTATTATTACTAACAGGGTTAAATTTAGTATTGAATAACACCAAATAAGTTGAAATTACGCGTTTAAAAACCAGTTAATCCCCCCCCAAAAATTGGGAGAAGAGCTCTTTTATATATAAGTTCCCGACCCATACTCGCTAGTCACGAGTTCAGCACATGTATGCATGGACGCGCTTTACAAATTGAAGCCTCACTCACCGTTCCAGTTTCGTTTGATCCTAGCATATATATATATATATATATATATATATATATATATATATATATAATCATATTAAGTTCAAGTATTCTCAAACAGCCACGATTTTGAAACACGGGTTCGTACATGGTACAGCACAAGCGGCGTCTACACTTGAAAAACGAACAACTTGTAACAAGACTTTCCGGCTGGAAACATGTTGTTACGAGTCCATCCACAAGCTATCTTGCAGAAAGTTTTGTTTGCGCTGTTTGTTCCAAACAACAAGAAGCTTGTGAACAATTTCGTCTGGTTTGATAATGATTTTGAAACAGAGTTAAATCAATATCACGGGTTGATAATTGCATCTTCTCTTTCTTAAAACTCGTATCTTAAGTTTATACAAAATGTCTTTGTTTAATTGTCAGAATATATGCTTCATTCTATATTCTTCTGCTCGGAGAAGCTTGTGGCAATTCTGATGGCATTATCAAAGTTGTTACAAAGTTGTTTGGATACAGCTGTGTTAAAACAATATAATGTTCCTACAATTTTGGCAACACAAGATACTGATTGCAATATTGTTATATTGTGTTCGTATGGAAAGTCTTTCAACATGCAAGTCTGATAACTCAATAAGCTGGTTTAAACTCGTTAATCGAAAGCTCGGCACAATGAGTGCAAAGTTGTTGACAGTTTGTTTGCATGCAGACCTATACAAGACAGGTCAGATGTGATAGATGATATATATGAGATTTATGGCTATGGAATTTCAATTGTAAGTGGGCAGAGCAACGAGTAAATGCCCCCCACGAAAACACTTATAATTTTGTATTATTTAAACTGGCTGGATACTTTCCAAAAGGCTAGATACTATAAGATCATCTTAAGATACGGTAAGATCATCTTAAGATACTTAGATACTATAAGATCATCTTAAGGGCATCTTAAGAGCGTCTAAGGCAAAGAACACCCGATTATTCAGCTGGTGAAATGAGTCGATATTTACATTGCCGTTCTGCGATATTTCATGCATGCAGTATCGATAAAACACTGAAAACAGAATCTCTCAAAAAGCCAAATATGATCAGCTTATATTTATATAGAATGCGTTCGATGCATGCACGCAAGTTTTTTGAGGATCTAAACAGCTAGGACTGGAATGAGGAAATGCTTTTGTTGGATCAAAATGTTTACGCTATATAGGCAGGGAAATTCCCTGAAGTCATGTGAACGACTCGAGTCCAGAGTTAGCCTTGACCTCTGTGGAAAAGATGCCTTCAATTGCACCACTTCATTATAGATACCCTACTGAGCCTCATGCATTCTCGCTATTCTTACTCTTCTCTGCACAACAGCAACACGTTTCACACTTTGGTTACTACCACGAGATCGTCGTTTACCAATCTGGCTGATTCCAAAAGTGACCAATTCAGACAACTATTGCAAGTGCTGTCTCTCTTTATTTTCCTCGCGGGATACAGAATTAAGTACATGTCGTATTATGTCTAGCCAATGAACGCGTTTCGCAAAATTGACCTATCAACAAATGTATCGAGCACGGACTGTACATTATTGGTTTTTGGCTGCATGTCAACTCTGCTACATTATTAAATTAAATATTCTGTAAAACATTTCTTTGTTGTGATCTCTCCTGGCTGACTTAAAATAGTTTCAGTTAATTGACTGGCTTTCATCTGTCGGATTTCAACATGTCGTACATGGATTACTCAATGAAGTTTTGATAACTCAAATACACAACAAAAGTATCTGTCTGTTGTACGTGCATGTGTTCACTCGCTCACATACACCAGGGTCAGTATCTGTGTTAAATTACCATACAAGGCTAAATTTACCTCAGCAAATATTCTGTCAGTATTTGTGTTTATTCAGTGGCGTTTCTTTGTTTAAACAAGATTACTGAAATTCCATCGGTCGTGTCGTGCGTGTTTTTCTGTAGTAGAAATTGCGAAGGCATCAGGCATACTATACACATTTCTCTCGATAATAGGTGCTAAGAAGTCCAGTGATCAGGAACGTGCAGTTAAAGTTAGCGCTAATTTTACCCTATTTTTCATTTGTGTACACATGGCTTATCTTTTCAAAACATTGAAAAATAAAGTCCCTGCAAAACCAGGGAAGATTTCTGGAACAACCCTTTCAAATTGATAAGTGAACCCCTAGAAAGTTTGGCCGGTAAATTCGCGTGATCTCAGGGTTAAACTAACTGGATTTTCAACAACCGACCTTGTGCATGTGATCTTTATATATTAACATTTAATTATGTGTGGCTAAGTAGATAAGTTTAACATAGCCTTTTGCTGTATTGTTATGGTAATAGTTTCAAAATAAAAACCCGGAATATTTTCCTGTCAACCTTCGATACGGTATATCAACTTTGACGCACCCACACACGGGGGAGTATGATTGTTCTTCTTCCTGTTTTGAAACGTGCTGCTAAGACGATGTGAGCTTGTGAGTAAACCCTTGCTAGAAGATGCAATATTTCAGCTTACAAACACGATACATTATACATAAGCATTCTGACCTTCATTTTACCCGCTCTAGTCAGTTGATTCGATTAGAGTTCTTTTATACCTTACATACCTAACATTTCTTGTTTATATACGTTTACAGTTGAAATTCTATTAAGTACGGTCAATTGAACACTTGTGTGGGCCTGGCGCGATTCCAGGGAGAATGGAGGCTTCGAGGAATTTCTTATTAGCACTAGACACCGAATCGATAAAGCAAAATATAGTGCAGCAGTTTCCCCTATATGCATTGCGGCAAAAAAACACATAAAGGCAACATTTGCTTAATAATTTGGGTAGCTTGAAGTGCATTTATGCTTATATAGTATAAGCACAGCAAATATAAAAACACCGACTTTTCTAATTTTGCTCGATTTGATTTTCGAGACCGCAATCACGGCTTCGATTTTGAAATGAGGATAATTATAGATGCACAACTGTTCGGTGTAAGAAGATATCAGACCGGCATCTTTTAAATTTGCCAAATTCTCTTTGAGATGGTCTAAATACATTTGCTGTAACAGATATAAAGTTACCCATTCAATTCAAGTTAATCGCATCAGTATATTGTTATCGTTCAGACACTTGCCACACCCAATCTCTAGTAAAAACAACTTTAGTACTAAGAAAAGCTCTTAACAACGTCTATACGGCGCTATAGTTATGTTAATTGATACGCCCAACATGTGAAACTATAGTATAACATGGATTCTGGTGCTGGGTTGTTTTGTAACCAGCCAGAGCATAAAATCACACAGGCGGCACAGCCAAACTACGCACACCCAAGAACGAGTGAAACTACAAAATTTCGTTGTGTAGTGTCATGTGTAAAATGCACTTATTTTTTTCATGTACTGCGTAAATGTACTAGCGCGGGAAAAAAACTATATTGAGCTGACTGTGAATATTTTAAATTTCTTCAGCCTGAAAATGTATATCTTTATATACAGTTCTCTATATACAGTGAAGTTTTTAAACCTCGCCTGGCTAATTATTCTATGTTTGGCTACATTTTCGTAAAAGGTCGACAAGATTTGGGTACGATTTGCAGATAAGTCTATACTGTGTGCTATTGGAAGATGCGGTGTTAGATTTCGTGTATAGTCGGAATCATCAATTATACACAAAAGCAATAGACTGCACCACGCTTTCAAAGATCAGTTTCGGCAACCTGGAAGTCAGGCTGTCGGCAAATATATCAAAGTGACTGACAAAATCTCCGTATAGAGAGCTCCACTTTGGGCCATTAAATCATAGATATATTTAGGGGCTAATCCGTCGTTTATTTATGAACCAACAATGCAATCCGCGTGAGATGATATTGGACAAGTGGCTATATATAATACAATCTGGGTTCAGCTGTGACAATTGCCCGCTCACGCCATCACGCAAACCTCTGGCATACAGTCGTCGGGCATTCGAGTACGCGTTCGTTGATCAACGTCGTGATTTAAAGCGCAAAGGCAAAGCATACGAGTGTCGTCAAATGGCTTAAACAAACAGCATCGGGTTTAGAACGGAACTACGAATTTCGCTCCTAGCCACCGTCAAATTAAAGCTCTGCACTGATATCTGCAGCAGCATTCAGTTCCAGTACCATATTAGGCGGATGATTCCTGGTTTCGCCCTGGTCTTTGTAATACTGACATGTGTACTTAAAGAAAATTCCTCCTTAAGCCGACTGGGTGTACGCGAAAATGCGGAAGTCGAATGTAAACGATTACACGTTGTTGCTTGTAGCTCAATAGTAAAACGACAGCGCTGGACGCTGGCTTTAAGGAGTCTTGACTTTAGCTTCGAGAGAGCGTTCTTCGTGAGGAAAATATGCTTTTCATCGCATTAATATGGCTTCTAAATTTCCATGTCGTAGCGGACGGTTGTCCGAATAATCTGGAGACAGAGTATACGAATAGATGCGATGTTAAAGACAAATTTGGGACGGAAGTCACGGAACCGTTGCCGCTGTTCACAGTTGGCAAAAGGGAATTTCTTAACTCGCAAACTGTTGGCTTGATACTATCAACGCGAAACGCTACAATGGAATGCACAGTATCCTTAAACGTTGAAGATATCCTCCAAAGAATGGCCCAAACGTCCGTCGTTTCTGAAAGGCATGTTGCGTTCCTCGTTGCGTTCCATTGTCCTAACCCGGCAAGGGTGTCTTTTTGCCGAGCGGGTAATGTTACCGAAAATGACATCATAATACACCTCAGATTCACAGGCAATTGTCGCGTCACAGGCGCCGACCTAGCAGTTTGGGGACGAACCGTGAACGTACATGGTTTGCACCTGCATAACCAAGTCACTTTACAAGATAACGGTGAGACAAAGGCCGAGTTGCAAGGGTTATTTAATATCGGTTTGTTGACTTTGAGCAATATGAAAAACAAGACAATACCCCGAATGTTTTTGTCGTATGTCTGGGAGAAGATGGCCGAATTACAACTGCTTGATATGTTGTTGCTTGGCTCAGAAATAGATATTTTGAAAACGACTATGCCGTATTTACAGTCTTTAGTGTTATGCGGGAACAATTTACGGGCCCTACCTAATTTCCCATGGTGCAAAACGGGATTGAAACTTCCGAGAAATTTGTCCCGTACTTCGGTGTTGGACGCACATTATTCGGAGGACGCGATAGTAAACCCCCGCTTGTATCGCCGATTTTTCGCCGTTCATTCGAACCCGGGAATCAAGCACAAAAATTATAAATTTTCTCCCGGAAATTTGGATAAAATTTCCTTGTGCGCAAACGAACTGAAGTTCATTAATTCGACGATGTTTGACGATGTGACGGGCTTAAAAGTTGTCGATTTGAGTCGAAATAATCTTAGCCATATTCCTGAACGAATTTTTGAAAAAACATTGGATATTGTTTCAATAAACTTTGATAATAACAGTCTGACCTCGTTGAATGGAAAAATATTCAAACAATTGACAAATCTTCAAACGCTTAGCGTAAAAAACAACTTCATATACGCTTTACGGAACGGTTTTCTTACGAACACGTTGCAAAAATTGGAGACGATCAATATCGAAAACAATTTGCTAAGTTTGGTTGAATCGAACGCTGTACCTCAAAGCCTCTTCGACGCGCTGAAAAAAATAAATTTCCGTAAGAATAAATTGCGTGAGGTCCCACAGTTTGGTTTCTACGTTCGAAATTTAGAATCTTTCGATGTGTCGGAGAATAAAGTTAACTTTGCCGGATTTGTCAAGACAATCGACAGTGTTAGTTTTCAAAACATCGTCTTTGTTCACACCAATTTGGGCAGCTCTATCCACACAAAATCAGTCAATGAATTGCCGCTCAATTCTAAGAGTAAGAAAATCTTAGATCTTCAACGAAACGCAATTGAACGCTTTGACTTGCATAATTTTAACAGTACAAGATTAAAAAAAATCATGTTTATTCTTCGCGTTTTCACGATTCGTTTAACGGGAAATCCCCTCCATTGTGACTGTAGAACGAGAGAGCTGCAGTTAAAGGTGCGAAATTGGACAAAAACCGTAAAAGAAATTACGGAGAAGGATTTTGATACCTGGATTTGCCAGTCGCCTGTAAATTTACGCGGAAAGAAAGTTTTGAATGTTCCCCCGAGCGATCTCAGGTGCGTGAAGCGAGACTGTCCGAAGTGCCCCGAGAGATGCAGTTGCTATCATGATAGCAATTCCGATTCCGTCACGTTCGTAGACTGTCGGGGACGGAACCTTACGGCAGTTCCTAAAGATCTACCGAAAGAAACATTTGAACTATGCTTACAGGATAATCAAATCGAAGAGTTAACTCTTTCGAAAAGCTTGGAAAATGTTACTGTAATTAAGGCTGGTCACAATAAGATAAAGAGCGTTCATTTGGTTGATACCCCATTGAAATTGAAAGAGATTTACTTGAATTCGAATAAGTTGACCAAACTTCCAAAACGTTTTCAAAATTTGACATTGTCTAAGATAGATATCAATAATAATTATTTTACGTGTGATTGCGAGAGTCTTTGGGTAAAAAACTGGTTGAAAAAACAAGAGAAAACATTTGTAGGCGGTGCAAGAAGTGTTGTTTGTAGTTCAGGTGGGATGAATGTAGCAAAACCTTTAATTTCGATTGAAGACAAAGATTTTGTTTGCACTAAGGAAACTGATCCAGGAAAGAATGCGAATAGAAATATACATACTGTAAGAGACGTCGTATTCTATGCTGTCGCAGCAATTTTCTTCCTACTTATTATCGCAGTTATACTTCTTTATCGTTTTCGTAAAGAACTGAAGCTTATTCTTTACACGAGATTCAACTGGCATCCGTTCGACCGCGTGGACGATTCAGACCCGTCCAAGATCTACGACGCGTTCGTCTCCTTCAACATCAGGGATAAAGTTTGGGTAGAAAAAACTTTGCAAGAAAAGTTGGAAAAAGATCACAACCCACCGTATAAATTATGCGTTCACTACAGGGACTTTATCCCGGGGGCTCCAATCGCCGAGACTATCCTTGACTGTGTTAAGAAGAGTCGTCGAATGATCATGGTTTTATCGCGAAATTTCATACAAAGCGAATGGTGCATGTTGGAATTTCGTGCCGCGCATCGGAGGGTCTTAAAAGGACGTGTGAATTATTTGATCGTCGTCCTTTTTGACGATGTTGATGTGGACAGTTTGGATGACGAGTTGAAGTTGTATTTAAAGACGAATACGTATCTGAGCGTCGAGAGTAAATGGTTCTGGCAACAGTTGAAGTACGCGCTGCCGCAGAAGAAACTAGAAACTGGTGACGGGGGACTACCGAATGAGGGAATAGAATTTGAAGAGAGGCATCTTGGCATGGTTTGATAGGTATAGTTAACATAATTTCCACACACAATAAGTATCATAAAGTTTTGGAGCTTTGTAGATCGAAAATTTTCCAATTTCCCAAAAACTTATAAGCGGCAGTTGCAGAATTAATATGCAACTTTCAGCAGCTTTTTTATGCAACTTTCCTAAAGACATGAATGATTATAAAAACTCTCGAAATTTACATTCCGGTACAAAATCGTCAGGGGGCGGATTGGCAGGCGATTTTTGCTTAAGGTAATCACTGATCTGATGATAGACTGGATATAGCAACTACAACCACGAAATCGTAGCCCTAGAAGCAGGAAAAATACTGCATTTGTCGCTATTAACACTAATTTTGAGATTAATTAACGTGGTATTAACTGAGACACTAGTTATTAAAATATATACCAACCCAGAAAGATGACTTCCAGAGTGCGCGTTATGTAGTTAACCATTTCAAATTGGGATCCGTTAACTTCGTTAACAGACCACTTGAACCATGACGTCAAGTGGTTTTCTATATGACTACGTTTTCGAGGTATAGTTATCCAGTGTATTTCAGATCAGTGACGGGAATGAGGAGATTCCTCGAGTGATGTTTCCGTTAACCAAATATTTCACTTTCCCTTCGAATTGCCTCCGGAATACTTTGAATCGTTTTTACCAGGCTTCAGTAATATCTACCTAACATGACCGAGTTTTGCGATTGTGTTTATGATTCGTTCTTTTGAAAATGAATTTCTATCGTTCATTGTGTTTCAATGTTATCATCAACCAATAGCAAAGCTTGTTCGTACCGAGCTTGTACCTGCTCGCAATTCCAAAGAAATGCAACCGAGAAACGCCGAGAAACGAACCTCTTGGAATCAAAACTTTAAAAGGTTTTATAACGATTTATATAATTTTTAACCACCTTGTATATACACGCCGCAGGCTAGAGTCACATATTTTTTATAGTCAGATACCTGTAGGATTGGCATACAGCATGTAAATAGTTTCTGTATTGAAAGACTGGCAATTTTGTACTGAGTGTGATAAATAAATAACCAGAAATAATGATGTGGGACCGTTTTAAAAAGCATGTTATTCTACAATGATTAATCCACATTTAGACACTTGAGAGACAATGGAAACGAAAAATATAAGTTTGTTTGAAAGAAAGTTTGAATAATCTATGAAATCTTGTTGTACTCTGAATTCTAACGAATTGTCGGCCATCTTGGATGACGTCAGGTGAGCCTAGTGAACTCTAGGTGAGCCTTTACTTACTGAATTACCGTGTAGCAATCAAACGTTCTTTAATTAAATTGTTTTTATTCATTTCTAAATTTGACCTACCAAACACAAGTTTTAGGTTAAATTTGATTATTGCTGTCATGCATATTCCAGTGAGCTAAATAATATTTTGTAATTATTATAGAGCTCAGTGTCTTATTCTCGACAATCCAAAATGGCGGACATAGCATTCTTTGGGTAAAAACAACATTCACAAAAAAGAACTTGAACAAAATGTAATTGGTGTTTAGAACGAGACTGGTGTCTAGAGTGTGTTTGAAGGCTGGGTGTTCTATATGTCATAATTTGTCGCCGCGCCCAATTCGAATTACAACGAATCACGACCCACAACAACTTGAATACAGCGTTCAAAAGTGTTTATTTGGAATAAATCTTGCACCATAGTTATATTTTTACATTTACGAGGCGTCCTCCTCAACTGAAATGCATCATTTTAATAATTTATGGCTACGTAAGAGTATACCCACAAAAATTTATGGCTACGTAATTTTAAATAGCACTGAGTCTTAGTTAAAGCAACGGCCGTAAAATTAAACGTTGCTAATACTGTATTTATTATTTACCCTGACATTCTAAGTATTACAAGAACTACTTTCGAATGGTCTCTTTTTGGGGAAACCCTATAAATATATTATATTCAACTAAAGGTAAATTTTACGAACACAATCATTGTTTAGATTATTAGTTGATGACCCCTTTCTTTTTTCCGACTTCGATAAAAGCGTTTATACATTTCTCGATGTCCTCTCGACCGTGCGAAGCTGATATTTGCACTCGTATACGGGATTTACCTTGGATGACAAAATTCGAGAGATTCACACTTCCGTTGCAAAATTCTACGCGGGTTTTGCAAACGACATATCGAAGAAACCCACTCATTCGTAAAATCCCGAGTGTTCACATGAGCCAAAATGTCCCGGTTAATCCGAGGGTGAGTCGAATGTAACCAATCAGCAAATTTGTTTACATTTAAGTAAAGTAACCCAATCAAAATGCATAAATATAGGCTACCTCCGATAAAAAAGGTAGCTACATTAATTCCCTGTTGTCGAATGTTAGTATTCTTAGAGTTATTCTTCCCTAATTGTTAGCCTCATTTCAGTAGTTTTATTTCATTGAACTACCCACTACGGTCGAAAACATCACTATTCGATGGATAGCGCCATCCAGCTTTCATAGTCCGGCCTATGTAGTTCAATACTTGGGCACATGAAAAAGCCGAGATAGCATTAACCGTTTTAGGTAGCGAAATTTCCATCATACAGCGTTGCGAAATTTCTCAGTTACAGATTTTAATTATAACCTCGCAAGCCAGGCTTTTTTATCTACGTACGATTCACGGCCAACGTCTCAGGTTGATTTTAATTAATGCTCGGGAGTATAGCAAAAAAATCAACTTCCTTCACACCGCTAATGCTTACGACCGACAAAGAAATATTGTTTGTTGTAGCCACGAAGGAATATATACTAGAAAAAAATTGCTAAAGGGAAAACAGCTTGTCTGTGCGAGGCAAAAGGCATTTATGCAGTTGACGCTGCGGCAAAAATATTTCGTCACAGGCTGCATGATCACTGCTAAACCAGCAAATGCTTATGTATGTACTATAGTGTGTACTTACCCACAGGAACAACTGGAAATGTGAATCCAATAACATATATGTCTCTCTCTACAAAATTTATTTCAAATAACGTCAGCTGGCGTACAGAATGGCACTTGCCCAAGCCCAAAGGAAAGGGAGAAATATTTCAATTGTAGACTGTGTGCATGCTTGTGATATTTAAACAGTTTTCTTGCGGAATTTCAAAGTATACATAACACGAATCATCATCATATGCATCACTGGTCATCAGTTCCATAGCATATTCAATTATTTAACAATCAAAGAGCCCTGAATATAGCCATCTTTAAATTTTTCAATGTCAATGCATGTGTTGGCATTTTAAATTAAATCGTGCAGTTTGAACTAATGCGACTTACTCAACATTTCATCTGCAAACTCGACGGCTAGACGAGCGTCTCCTAGCATTACTGGACATATCGGATGATCTTCACCCTAGCAGAAACAAAGCAGAGAATGCAGAAAATGCCAGTTAAAACCACGCTAGGGAGAGGGAAAACCCTGGGTACGAGGTTGGGAAGGAATTTGCAAATATTTGTGTCATTCAAAAATTTCCAAATTCAGAGAAACGACTCGCGCATTTTGGTATGTGAATGGCATTAAAAACTGCGTCAACTCGACTGCTCTCGACTTAAAAAGAAACATGGAAATATTTTGCGAGCTTACGCAGGTTGACATTTTTTTACTTACAGCGATTGTGAATCCAGCTTCAGTCATTTTGTCCCTGAATAACTTTGTATTTTCAGCAACCTTCGTTGTGAGGTCAGTGCCATCCATCAGCAAGTCAAATACCTGCAGTTGGGAGTATTTCATAAAATAATTAGCCTGAATTGACAGAAAAGCAGACAAATTCGCAGGTTACTAGATAAACTGTTGTCAAGAAAACATTTGAAACAGTGGTTTTGCCCTTGCTCGAGTGCAACCAATGATTTTAGTATTGCATATATTTTGGCGGGAAAATGAAACTTTTTATGGCAAGCAAAAGCAAGCGTTAACTGACCTTGGAAGCGCAGGCGACAACAGGAGGTGGCAAGGTATTTGAAAAAAGATACGGTCGAGATTTCTGGCGTAACAGAGCAATCAGCTCCTTCGAACCTGTGGTATATCCACCTGGAAATGGGACACAAAAGTTTTAAATCAGACGTTTTCAGCAGACTTCAGGCTACTGTAACGTAGCTATTACTTCAACTTTTGATAAAGAAACTCGATGCATATTTTACGAAACAGTGCATATTTTGCATGCACCGTAGAATCAACAAATTACATGCAGCTAAAAATTTTACTGTAAACATTAATATGATGTATTGTGAAAAACATCGAAGGAAATTTGTATTCAAATACCTGCTGCACCACCCAACGCTTTTCCCAGAGTAGAGTTTATGATATCGACACGTCCTTTGTACCCAAAGAACTCCTCGGTCCCCCTGCATGGAAGAAAGTGACGTATTAGCATGTATAAAAAGTCGTATGCCACGTTATGACGTCAGTCGTTATGACGTCAGACGATTTCTCTCAATCAAAAGATGTGAATTATTTTTAACAAATAATCGCGTTATTACCTGCCCGTTTTGCCAAAGAATCCCGTAGCGTGACACTCGTCGACGAAAATAATCGCTTCATATTTGTCGGCCAGAGAAACAATGTCTCTACAGTAAAAAAAGACATCGCAGGTTATCACGTTGGTAGATTGACCCTCAGAAGAAGAGTGTAGTGATTATTATAGAAGAGTGAAGTAGCATGTAGTAAAGATGACTATAGTACCTTAGAGGAGCCACATTTCCGTCCATGCTGAACACACCATCAGTTACAATGAGTTTTGTTCTGGCATCCTTGTTTTCTGACAACATGGACTCTAAGTCTGTGCAATGAGAAGAATAAATCTCTGCGGTCAAAAACTGTGAGCGAAATTTGAGCATTTCATTACCAGAGTTGCAAAAAGAGTTCAACCTTTCTCCGGTAGGATTTCAAGTTTTGAAAATGACGTTACGTCACTGAGTCAAGTGGCAACCAGCATAAAGAAATATTTGGTTTTTTGGTACATGCATATGGTCATGCAATTAGAGTGTTCAACTTTGAACAAACCTCACAAACCGCATTCAAAGCAAACCTTCCTCCGGGTGGTACCCGCGTACCCGCAGCTTTTTTGTAACTCTGTTCATTACCAACTCGGGGCATAAATGATGGGAAAATACGAGATTTTTGCTGGTAATATCAGTGTCCCTTTCGAAATTGCGAAACCCAGCTCAAAGTAAATACTTACCTTTCATATCTCTGTGTTTATATCGCAACTTCTTAGCTTTGCACAATCGCACGCCGTCAATGATTGAAGCATGGTTTAATTCATCGCTAATCAAAACGTCTTCTGGTTCCAAAATTGCCTCGAACAGACCAGCATTTGCATCAAAACAACTTGGATACAATATGGCGTCTTCTCGACCGTGAAACTGAGCTATCTTATTTTCGAGTTCCTTGTGAATATCCTAGAGAATATAAAATTATCTTAGTTAATTTTTTATATATATTTTGAGTAAGCTTTTGGCTGTTAAGTAACAAATTATCTCTTACACGTGGCGGGAAAATGTTCAAAACAACCTTACCGACGTTACCGTATCGCCTTAACTTTATTCTTTCAGTCATGTAGTAAATTACGCTTTTTAAAAACAGTATTTTGTGTTCGGAAAACGTCAAGCGACATGCAAAGGTTTTTTTCAATAACAGTTTGGGGTAAAACATCTCGATAACCTACCTGTGTTCCGCAGATGAATCGAACAGAACTCAAGCCAGCTCCATATTTATCCAAAGCGTTTTTGCCCGCGTTGATCACTTCAGGATGAGACTACAAAGTACACCGGACAATGAAAACAACATATTACAGTTGATAATTGTTGGCGATTTACACCATGTAATTTATTAAATTTCTAAGCTTATGTTTTTTTACATGATGTAAATCACAAGCGATTAACAACTATATTGAATGACACCATGCAAAACTTCAAAGAACAACATATTAGCTATATATAACTATAAGTTGACCCTGCAATGCTTTCGAATTTTTGCAAGATCGCGTAAATCGGTGTTCAGTTAATTGTTGTTTAAAACCATGATTTAAATAATCTATAAAAAAAGGCTATCTCCAAAATCGACGTTCTGTTTTTCGGTCAACGGCCCCAGATCCATGCAATAGGGTCTGGGTCCAAAAATGGCAATAGAAAAGCGCGGGAAAAATATTGTAATTTTGTATGGATTTTTGAGAACCGACAAGCGATATTAGACTGAAGAAAAAGCTTAAAATTGAGAAAACGGCCACGTAATTTGTGAGTATCTTCTTTGGGCTAATAGAAGGACTCTCTGAGCTAACCCCATAGTAATTTTGAGCTTTATGAATGCGGCATGTCAGATTTCTAACAACTGTTATTGTTGTTGACACCGACGGTCAAAGACAAAGATCGGATAAAACTACAGCCGAAAAACATGAAAATAGTAGACTTAGTAGTGCTAACAGTCTCGCACAAATAGATAAAGAATCGCACCGGTTGCATGAAAAGATAGTCAACTTTTAATCAGAATCGTACGTGCATTTTGCAACGAACTACAATTTAATGTCTGCTTGAATTTATG